GGTGGATCTCGAATGAGAAGAGAATGAATCCATAAACGAGAAGTGGATGATGCCGGTCGAGCGAGGACACATATGAGATGGCGTTTATTGAATTTCCAAAAGATTCACCGTTGCATCGATAGAAGACCTTGGTTGGTTAGGGTTGCATGCCGCCGATCGCACTTCTGAGGCTTTTCTTGTGAAGTGAAGTGATGCCATGTTTGTTTGCATTTGAGTGCCACCATCATTGTTTTGTGAGAAATTTGTGATGCGGATTGGATGACAAGTGGATCTTGAATGACAAGGGGGTCCTTGAATGAGAAGAGGATTTAGAATGAGAAGTGGGCTTGGAATAAGAAGTGGGTTTGGAATGAGATGTGGGTCTTGAATGACAAGTGGATGATGTTTGGAATGAGATGTGGGTGTTGGGGGTTGGAGTCAATCGAAAAAGGCGGACTTTATATAATTTTAGTTCATTCGTTTCACAGTTTTCGGAATTCGTATGATCTTCCCGTATGTCAAATCGAATTCTGACAGGTCAACTTACGATAATTCACATGCATATTATATGACCGAAAAGACCATCCAATCGCTAGCATGATCTAAAGTTCTAGACTGCCCTTGGACCATCTGATGGAATCAAGATAACCCGCTCTTTCGGCTTCCCGGCAATTGATGCTTGGCAGCCTTAATATGTTTGATATGTTGCATCGCTGCTGCCTTATGTTTGACCACCTTGAGTTCTTATCAATCATCAGATGGATGTGAGATATCCCGCTTTGCTGGCTTTCAAACGAATACTTTTTGACCAGTCATCTGCAGCTATTATTTATAAATCTTACTAACCATTCGATGGATCTTAGATATCCCGCTTTTCTGTCTTTCAAACAAATACTTTTTTGACAACTCATCTGCAGCTGCTATTTATAAATCTCACTAACCGTCCGATAGCTTCCAGACCAATCTGTTACTTGCTTTAGACCACATTGCAACGACTTCCTATTTGAATTGGATGACTCAGTCTCATGCTTGACACTCATGATCCGATGCCGGTGGTGGTGATCTGAGAGCATTCACTCTTGAAGCCAATTTATAGCAAGAGAGACCAACACTTAAGCATACGCGTGTATTAAATACGCAAAACGCGTTTCTAGACACAGTGCCAAATTTTGCCATTTAAGCTTTTAGTACGCGTGTATGCAACACTTTGTTTGTGTGTATGCAGTCATACCATCAATCCTTCTCTCACTTGCCATATATATCCCATCCACCTGACCATTCCCTCAACATGTCAACCGATGGCCCTTCATCCGATGGGCGAGGTGCGATTGCATCTTCATCATCAGATATACATCAAACGCCAACCTCAAGAACAGGTGCTGCATCCAATCGAAGAAAGAGTCATAAACAATTGAGCGCAAAACAGTTGGACAAGATTGTAAAAAACCTTACTTCCGTCCAGAAAAGTGTCGGTCATTTACGATCAGATTCGTACGGATCATTATCACATATTGGTGAAATGTCCAATTATGAAAATGCGATCAATGACGAAAACATTTTGCTCGGCGAAGATGGACAGCGTGAATTGGCTTCTTATGCGATCGAGGAAGAAGATGGAGCCTTGCTTGGAGAAACAACGCTAACGGGATTGGATCTGAATCAATTGAATGGAGCAGAAGCATGGCTACAAAGAAAAGGTCTTGATAAATCACTCTTTAAAGGATTCAGTAAAGGACCAGACGGGATCGCATTGGCAAAAGTTGCAGCCAAAGGACCAAAAGGAAAAGACAGTGCTCCGCCAGATTCATTCTTGCACGAAGCCACTTTCGTCTTTAATCCTCTTAATCGTCGTATACCACATCAAACGCCGAGAAAGCAAGCAGCTTCTGGACTTGGAGCAAAAGGACTTCCAAAATTGCCGAAAGAATCAGTTGCCGATCGCATTGCTCGTACAAAGCCGGACGCAAAGAGGACAGCGTCGGGCTCAAACGAAACGGCAAATGCTTCGGTGACACAACAGTCCATTGGTGACTCGACACAGGTAGAACCACTGGCATCGGTACCGAAAGAGATTCAAGAAGCTTTGGTGTTGGAAGACCTTCTCTTTGTCTTGTCTGGAATAGAAGGTCAATATTTCCAGTATACGCCATCTTATTCTCCGGAAGCTCTCGGATCGCGATTGAAAGGTGCCACTTTTACCATTGATTCTGGACTAGACCAATCACTGCAAGATGTTGTTGGGAGGATCCTGCCACTGGCAACGCATTATACCGCCATCTTTGCTTTCGTAGAAGCGGAATCAAGTTTGGAGTTCGGTACAGTGATACATGCTTTGTGTGCAGCTATACGTGATTTGCTAAAAGAGTACGAGATTTTGATCATCCAGCTTGAACACCAAATGGCTACTTCACCTGCGTTCACCTTGCAAAAGCTTTGGTTCTATGTTCATCCGACACTAAGGACGATGTCGCTTTTGCACAACTTTATTACCGAGATTATCGAAGTTTCACATGCAAACGTTTTAGAAGCAGAGGATGATGGTGAGGGAGATTCAAGTGACGAAGATGATGACGACGAGGACGATGAGGAAGACAGCTTAGATCGGAAAAGACGTGAGCTGCTCAGCCTGGATGATGATGACGAAAATAAGATCGTTGGTGGAATAGTGAAAGGTGGAGAGGTTTTATCACTTTTGTACGATCGAGTGATCAGGATGGGAGGTGATGAAGCAGCACACAAACTATTCCGTACCCTCCTCATTCGAGCCGCACAGCCTTATGCGGATATATTGGTTCGGTGGATCACGACAGGAGATCTTTCAGATACGTATGAAGAATTCTTGGTGATGGAAAATCCAAAAGTGACACAGGCAAGCTTGGAATCCGACCCGACTGACGAATTCTGGGAACGACGATACACTTTGCGGGATGAAAGTGCGATCGAGCAAAAGGAACACGAAAGACAACAAGGGCTTGATCTGGATGAAATGTTGGATGAAAGCAGTGCTCGCGGGATCCTTACAGGAGGAGCCAAGATACCGGCATTCTTGGAGCCATGGAAGAGAAAGATTCTGCTTGCCGGCAAGTACTTGAACGTCATTCGTGAATGCAGCAAAGACGTTTCCTCCATTCCAGAGATTGCAGAGCACGCAGAAGCTCTTCAAGATGCGGATATCGACATGACGGACGAATCGTTCTTTCAGTACATCGAAACGGCATACCAACGGGCAAATACGGCATTGTTGAGCTTATTGCTGGACGAGCATAATATCGTCGTGCGATTAAGGTCAATGAAGCACTACTTCTTTCAAACGCACTCTGATTTCTTCTCCTCCTTCCTCGAAGCTGCTGGACGGGAATTGCGCAAAGAGGTTGTTCCTGATAAGGTCAGAGATGTGACGATTATGCGCTTGCAAAGTCACCTCGGTATGGTCCTTGGCAGTTCAAATTGCGTTGGCTATACAGATCCGTTCAGAGAGGACGTCAAGGTGACGTTAGCATCTGAGAATGCGTACGACCAATTGAAACGAATCGCTGAGATCAAAGGAGGAATGGAAGCAGCAAGAGCACAGGCAAAGTTGGCAAAGCAAAAGGATAGAGAGCGTATCCCGTTGATGGAATTGCTGCAATTTGATTTGACGGTCAAGTTCCCCACCTCATTGGTGATCTCTAAAAAGAACATCTTACGTTGGCAATTCCTGCAAAGGCCCATCATCAATCTCAAAGCAACGGAAAAAGCCTTGTGCGATGTGTTTACCGAACATCAAGAACCTGCATGGCGTAAATTGGAGAAAGGTCATCCGCAATTGCAAAAATGGAAGATGCGAATCTTCAACTTACGTCATCGAATCTTGTTCTTTGTTCAGCAAGTTACAGCGTTCATGACAGCTGAAGTGATTGAGCCAAATTGGCGTGATCTGGAGTCAAAAATGGAACGTGCAACAACAGTGGATCAATTCTTGAAAGATCATTTCGATTTTTTGAACCTATGTCGAAAAGAATGCATGTTGACCGATTTACGATTTGTGGAAATGATGTCCAAGCTGATGTCTGTTGCGATCATCTTTTGTGACAATCGAGTCCGGTTTCGTGATCAATTGCATATGGAACGTGCAAATTGGCAAAAAGATTTGTTGGAGTCACCTCATCAAATCGAAGCACCTAAAATGAGCGAAGATGTCCTTAGCTTCCTCAAAAGGATCGAAGGTCATTGGGAAAAGAGATTGAGCACGTTCAAAGATATTGTAGCCCTTCTTTCTACAACCGATAATCCTTCCGCTTTACCTTTATCTTATCGTTTACAGTCCGCTTGATGGCTTTACGAACCGTGTATAATTAAAATGATGTACGATAGAAAATACCAATGCAGTGTATGCTCAATTGTTTTGTCGTGACACTTCACGTGAAATATAGTTTTGAGGCGCAACATTATCATTTGTCATCAAGACCGATAGAATAAAAACAAGTTTCACGACATTCACCAAGAAATAAATACCTGAGCAAAAAAGATCCACTCAACCTGCTCAAAGATGGGCCTGTGGAGACTAGGAACAGGTATCACAACCGTTCACATCTCGAGCATAAAGAGTCACGGAGTTACCTTTATCTTTCAATCTTCCAGCTCCAACGATGACAATATCCTTCGAGTTGAAGCCTACAGCAAGGGAACGTGAATATTGGGCGGGAGAGGATGTTGAGATCTTCGTCCACGCTTTTGAATCGCCATTTTGCTTGTTAACGAACAAAGAGCTATCGCTATAAGCATTTACAACGACTGTCCCATCTGCAGTCTTTACGCCGGACGAGCCCTTCTGTGCACCTACAGGAGTCCAAATCGTGTAAGGAGAAGAAGAGGGTGCCGTGCCATCTTGAGCGATCAATTGAGTGGCACCTACACTATTCCAATTTGTGGGATCATTGGATATCTTGTAATAGACATTACAATTATTTTTACCACAGTATTCGAATGAAAGGATGTAATTTCCATTTCCCATTTGAGCAATTGTAGCCATTCCGGGTCTTGCACTATAGTCTGAATCGACAACATCATCCACAACGCTTGACCAAGTCATCAAGTTGGACGAAGATTGATGAACAAGCTTTTGTCCATGTTTAGCATCCCGTTGATCAGAGTAAAAGCAGTGTAGTTGATTGCCATAGAACAGCAAGAATGGTTCCCAGACTGGTGTTTTTCCGTTTGTTGCAGTTGCCTCTCCACCTTGTGCGACTGAAGATAAAAACTTCCACGTAGAACCCTTATCGGTGGAGATGTATAAATCAATCTTCGTCTTTGAGAGGTCGGCAGGAATGGAGTTACCAGCCAGAAGGATTGCGCCTGCTTTGTAACCACCAAAATCTTGTTTTAATTCAAGGAGGAAAGGCTGATAACGTAAGCCCCAGCCATTCACTTGATCTGTCACTTTACTAAAGCTTGACCAGGTCTTACCATGATCGATTGATCGATAGATTGGGAACCAAGTAACTCCACCCGAGTAGTTCTCCCATGTTGCTAACAATGTACCTGCTGCATCATTTACCGTAAGCAAAAGTGAACGAGCATAAAGAACTGGTGGGGTTTCATAACTTGAAGGTGGTGTAAAGATTGTTGTGGAAAAATCACGCTTTGTCAAGTTGAACAGAGTAGTAGAAGCGCATGCTGTCAAGAGGACTAAGAGTAGGAGGAGGATTGAGGGCACTTTCATCTTGAATAATGGCCCTACCAACAAGAAAAGATGGGTAATATCAAATCATCTTTGACCCAATGGAACACCTTTTAAGTATAGGAAGCATATCACTACATTTAAAGATTGAAGAAGTATGCATTATGACCTGAAGCTTTGTTTTTCTACCAGTCAAAAGATTCATCGTGAGAGATAGCCGAGGTATTCTGATGTTGGAACAACCAAGCAAAATAAAAACGATGGATGTACCTCGGTAGTCCGTTTCCTTACAAAGAACCCCACACAGACTGTATAAGGAATGGGAAATTGAAACAGGTTTAAGTGCTCTCAATACCTTGTGTGAGGTCAGGCGAAGCAGAATAATATCAGGATGACAGCAACGCGGTATCGTCGTGAGAAGTTTGATTGCTTTACTCCTGCATATGAGTGCTTATAGACTTTTCTGTCAGGATCAAGCTAGAAACCTTTGACAGCTTCGATACGAATCAATCTTCTATAGTGAACCAGGAACACAATTCGGTCCCGGCACTTCCGCTCACGTACCTTGCCTCGGCGAAGAATGGATCGAAATGGTTTCGGTTATTCTGAGCATTTTATGTCGCAAAGAGATTCTCTGGATGCAATTCAGCTTTCTTTTTCGGCAATCTCTCATACAAGACTGATTATGAATCGCTTCAGTCAGTGCAAAAAAAGAAGCAAATACCGGACCGAGCTGAGCTGAAGCCCTGGAAAATGTGTATCGCAATAGCATTCTCGATCCAGATGACCGCTAGCTCGAAGTCCTCAACCTCAGTTCACATTACTAGACACTTCAACAGCTAGAATATCATTCATCATCGAATCACAGACAGTCACTGGGAAGTAGGTACATGTGTTCCAAACCCATTCAAGCGTATCGCTTGAGGAGGCTAGGTGCAATAATCACAGCCATTCACATCTCTTGAATAAATAGTCACGGTATTGTTTTTGGTTTTCAATAATCCACCTCCAACAATTTCAATATCCTTAGGATTGAAGCCTACAGCAAGCGAACGTGAATATTGTGCGGGGGATGAAGTTGAAAGCCTTGTCCATGCATGTGGATCGCCATTTTGATGATTGAGGTATAATTCGCCATTACTGTACGAGTTGACAACGACTGTACCGTTCTTAGTCTTTACGCCACATGAGCGTTTTTGAGCACCAACAGGCGTCCAGACTACGTAAGGCGAAGAAAATGGTTGCACGCCATCTTGCGTGATCAATTGAATAGGAGGTTTATGTCCAAATTTCCTTGGATCTTTAGAAATTTTGTAGTACACATTGCAGTTGTTCACACCGCAATATTCAAAAGTATAAATGTACTTTCCATTTCCCATCTTGGCGATCGTGACCATTCCAGGTCTTGCATCATATCCCGGATCGGCCATATCAGTCACAACGTTTGACCAATTCAAAAGATCAGAAGTAGATTGATGAACAAGCTTTTGACCGTGTTTTGGATCACGTTGATCAGAGTAATAGCAAAGCAATCGTTTCTTGTAAACCAACAAGAATGGTTCCCAAACTGGTGTTTTACCATTTTCAGGATCATCAGCTCGGCCACCGCTTGCAACTGAAGATAAAAATTTCCAGGTAAAACCTTTGTCGGTAGAAATGTACAAATCAATCTTTGTTTTCGAAAGGTCGATAGGGATAGAGTTGCCCGCTAAAAGGATTGCGCCCGCTTTATAACAACCGAAATCTTCCTTGAGCTCATAGAGGAACGGTTGATAACGTAAACCCCATCCGTTTACTTGATCTGTCACATTACTGAACCATGACCAAGTTTTACCATGATCAAGCGATCGAAAGATTGGAAACCATGTTACGCCATTCGAATAATTTTTACCTGAATAATTTTCCCAGGTTGCCAGCATTGTGCCTTTTGCGTCGTTCACAGTTAGCAAAAGTGAACGGGCATAAAGAACTGGTGGGGTTTCATATTCGGGAGGCGGAGTAAAGATTGTCGTCGAGAAATCACGTTTCACCAATGTGCCAGCACATGCCGTGAGAAAAATTGAAAGTGAAAGAAGGATTGAGTGAAACTTCATGTTGAAAAGAAGGAATTATGTGTAGAGAGATATTTGTACACTTTTTTGAGCGAAAGCGATTTGACTACCTTTTATACTTGCATCATAATCATTTCGGGTGGGTACATTTGCATGATGAAGCCATATTTGATGATTGCAGAGAATACCGCCGGGCACATTTTCTAACCTGTGTTCCTGAATGGAAGTTTGCTATAGAACATTCCTTACTACTCCACCATTCAAGACCCTTAGAGTGAGAGATAGCTAAGACTGTCTATCTTTTTGAAAACTGAAAGAACGGTAATCTCCAGGAAATGCGGGGTAACCCCACAAATCAGGAACGTCAGACAATCTGAATGACTTGAATTTGGTGAAGTCGCAGTCTTTATGCTTAATGCGAGGTCAGGCGAAACTGATTTTTTTCACGACGAATAAAATTAAAAACTTAATCTTCTTTTGTCCGAGCCACACAAAATTATACCATTCCAAAAAATATTATTTCTGTTGATGACAAGGTCAATAAATGGCGTGATATCTGTCAAAGCACACTTATGATCTTTGCTCTGAAACGCTCTGTCTATGAGGTAATATTATAATTGATGAAGAGCCGAAATGAATGGCAATGTTGCAAAATCATTATAAAGTCTTTGTGCACGTTACGCTCATAGGATCGCAAGACCTATCCTTTTTATAGTCAAGCACTTACAAGAGATTACCGTCAATTTCCAAGCTAGAAAACCGTTTGACACTTTTGACACAAATTAAATTTCTGTTCCGAAATAGGAACATGCTTCGGCTCCGAAGTTTTTGTCAATCTAATTTTCGAAGTACCTTTCTTTAGCGTAGAGCGGCTCCCACTGTTTCGGCTATCTTCAGCTCTTCGTTGTGCAATAACCCTTGCAATTTATGCTTTTTACGTTACGGAGCAGTCAAACTATCGCCTTCTTCTTCTTCGGCAATCTTTGTTCATAGAAGCGATTTACGCAAAGAAGGACTGACGCCTGCATTATCAAATTCAGCAAGACATTGCCAAATTAAAGCACCGAAGACCACCATTATGAATCCAAAAAGCTCGATTGTCTAATTCGGAGCCAATGTTGTTGAAAGACTGGTTTGGACAAAAGCATGCTACCATGCCGTCTGTGATCCGTGCATGTATTACGCCATTTTTCTTGTTGTGATTCTACGGATCCACAGAATTCCGGGGAAAAGGGTTCATTGGTATATAAACCACCTATGACAAAATGGAAAGAAGTGTAGACTTCATCCTCCTCACACAATATCTCGCCCGCCATGGCTCTCCCTCCAAAGGTTTATACTTTCTTGTGTGGCTGTTTTGCAGCTTTTGGCTCATTCACCTTTGGATATGATTTAGGTGTCATTGCCGGTGTATTGACAGCGCCTGACTTTCTCCGGGTGACAAATTTACAAGGAACTGATAATGAAACGTCAAACTACCTCGGTTTTATCGCGAGTTCAATGGTTTTAGGCGCATTTTGTGCTTGCGTACCAACTTCACTCATTGCCGATAAATTAAGTCGAAGGACGGCAATCGTAAATTCTGCGGCAATCTTCACATTTGGTGCAATCCTTCAAGCTGCTGCTCAAAATCGTGAAATGATGATGGCAGGACGTTTCATCACAGGATTGGGTATTGGAGGATTAACGATGCTCGCTCCATTGTATCAATCCGAAATCGCTCACCCTTCCATGCGAGGCTCTCTTACCACATTGCAACAATTGTTCCTTGGAATTGGAGCATTTATTGCAAGTTTGAGTAATTATGGATTGCTCATTCATCATTTAGACACACCTTTTCAATGGAGATTTGCACTGGCACTTCAAATTGCTCCTGCGATACCATTGCTTACGTGCATGTTCCTTCTTCCAGAATCACCAAGATGGTATATGCTCAAAGGTCGTAGAGAAGATGCTCATCGTACCCTTGCACGCCTTCATGCAAGCGATCAACTCGAACATCCTTTTGTCTTGGCACAAATGATCGAATTGGAAGCGGCTGTTCAACGTGATACAGAAGCAGAACGTGTACATGGTGGCTGGATGTCTTTGATCAATAACCGTCAAACTTTCCGCAAAGTACTTTTAGGGGTCATTCTTCAATTCAGCGTTCAAATGACTGGTGTTTCGGCAATTCAATATTTCTCACCTACAATCTTTAAAGTTTTCGGGTTCAGTGTCAGACGTTCGTTACTCTTTAACTCCATCGCAAATGTTTTCGCTTTGGTAGGAGAAATCTGCGCAGTTTTGTTCGTCGATCAGGTTGGCCGTCGAACTCCTTTGATCGGCTGCAATATAGGATCGGGTATCACGTTCGTCATTGGAACTGCCTTGATGGCAATTTATCCTGCTACGAATGCAAATAATAACAAAAGCGCTGCTTATGCTTTCGTTGTGATGACTTGGTTATTCCAATGGTTCTTCTCTTTCGGTATTGGTCCACTCTCATGGACGTATCCGGTTGAGATTTTCAGTACAGGAATGCGAGCTCGTGGAACAGCCGTGACGACGATGTCATCTTACATTAGCAATTTTATGATCGGTCAAGTATCTCCGATTGCTTTCAAGAATGTTGGTTGGCGATATTATCTTTTATTTGCAATTTGTGGTTTCACAAATGCATTAACTGTTTATCTCTTATTCCCTGAAACAAAAGGTCGTACGCTGGAGGAAATGGATTTGTACATGGAACAAATGCCATGGATCGTCGTTGGCACGTCAAAAGCATTGGAGATTTCGGCAAAAGAACGTGAAGTTCAATTGAAGCGTGGCATTGTACATGATGGTATCGGGGAAGGAACTTATGGAGAAGTTCCTACGCTGAAGAGAAAGCAAGGGGATGTTGAAAATACGCCTGATGAGAAGAAGTAGTGTCGTTCATTTTTTTCCACGATGACATGTATAGTAATGCTCTTTGAAACTTTACGAGAACTTTCTTTTGACTAGTATATGATTTGGCATTCTGAAAGGAGGTCCAAGTTCTATCAGAATTGCGCTTTTGCCACTAGCATGGAAAACTGTAGCTTTAGTTAGTTATTGGCTAATTTGACAGCCAGCCAGGCAGGCATTCATTGGATTGGCGTAAGGACGAAACAGTTAGCCCGTGTGAGCGTGAGTAAATGCGTGCGCGCGCGCCATCAAAAAGTCAATTTACACTGCGCAGCGCACATAGAGTATCTACACACACACAGTAGACAGCGGGGCCGGCGTGCAATTACGTGTTGTGCATGTGACCAGTGTTTTTTTACTCAATCTTCAGAAGCGAGCAAAAAGGGAAAAAGGCGAGTAGGAAAAAACAGACACTGGTCTAGAGCCCAAAAAGATACTTACAAAGTCAATTAATGCATCCAAATTTTTCATGTCGAGTTAAGCTCTAAAATGATGAATGAGTTCTAATTACTCTTCTTCTAATCAGTTTTGACAACTCTTTTGCATTTCCCATTTGCTTTTCCACTCTCTTCCATCATCTACTATCACGAACGGTCGCTAGGAGTTCTCTTTTCTTTCTCTCGATTCTCTCTCGCTTTCGTTCATCCCGTTTGTGTTCTTGCGTGCGTGGTGTTCGTGTGGTTTCGTCTTTTTTCTCTTTTTTCCGTTTCTCGTTTTATTTCGTGTGCATCGGTTCTTTCGTTTGCGCTCGTATCCAATAATCTCAATCTCTCTCAATCATTTCAATTTGGTTCGGACTTGTGCCTATTTTCTTTTGACGATTTCAAGGTTGGACAAAGTATAATCTTTCCAACTTTTTATCATATTATTGTATAACGTTTGTTTGCTTAAAAGGTGAGTTTGCATTTAATGCACCTTCTTTCACTGCAACATTACTGACATCCACAACTCTCTTCCCTTCTACAGACTCGATTACGTGTACTTGTTTCGACATTTCATATCTGTTTACCAAAAATGGCTAAAGTTTACGTCGGTAACCTTTCTTGGAACACAAACGATGATGGATTGGCTCAAGCCTTTTCCGCTTTTGGTCAATTGACCGATTATATCGTCATGAAAGATCGTGAAACCGGTCGTTCTCGTGGTTTCGGTTTTGTTACATACGGTACACAACAAGAAGCTGATGCTGCAATCGCCGGTCTCAACGAACAAGAGCTCGACGGTCGTCGCATTCGTGTCAACATGGCCAACTCTCGTCCCGTTGGTATGGGTGCCGGTATGGGCGCTGGAGGTTATGGTGGCGGCTACGGTGGTGCAGGCATGAACCCTCAATCATATGGTGGTTATGGTGCTCCTCAAGGCGGTTACGCAGGCGGCTACGGTGCTCAACAAGGTGCTTATGGCGCTCAACAAGGCTTTGGAGGTCAACAAGGCTTCGGCGGTCAACAAGGTTTCGGTGGACCTCAAGGTTACGGAGCACCACAAGGCGGCTACGGAGGCAGCTTCCCACCACCACCACAAAACGGCTTCGGCGGTCAAGCAGCAGGCGGTTTCCCTGGTCAACAAGGCGGTGGTTACCCTGCTGGTGGACAAGCTGGTGGTTACCCAGGATCTACTCAAGGTGGCGGTTACTAAAAAGCTCTCCTTTGACATTTGAATGAATGCGAGTTCGGGACAAGGGAAGGCTTGCAAGCTATCCTGTGTTCCACTCCATCCTTCGTGTTTGAGCTGTCAAAATTTATAATACTTTCCGTACCATTCACAAAAAAATCATGTTGAAATCAAGTTGATTTAACTAACTTTTAAAAATCACAACTTCATCTTTTCTTTCCTCTTCTACTCGTGCGACAATGCCGTCTGCACTGAACTTCATACCAATCTATCAATTTAACGTCTTTATTTTCCTTCTTCAAAAATGACACTTCTTTTGTCTGTCTTTGTCTTGTCCGTGCACTTTTGTGTGAGAAGTGAGGGAATTGATTAGCAGAGTGCGGAGAATAAAAAATTGAATGCGTCGTGTTCCATAAGCGGGAATACACCTCCACCGCCTGGAATGCACACTTTACGCACTGTTCCCATGGCTTACTGATCAAAATGGATGCATAATGATAAAGTTTGACAGGTAAGTAATGAATGTGACAATTGAATACCACCACCAACCTCTCTAATACAATGACATCTACACGATCAGCCATCCTTTTCGGCGCAACGGGAGCGGTAGGAAAGCCGTTGCTGTCAGAACTTCTAAAGAGTCCACAATATGATCAAGTACACGCATTCGTACGCAAGCCATTCAAGAACGAATCAAGCTATAAAGAAGAAGCCAAGTTAATTGAACATTTATTAGATTTTGAAAAATTGCTTGAGGAAGGAAAAGGAGTGGAAGAAATTCGGGATGTTAAAGCAGAAGCTGTTTATATTACCCTAGGAACAACGAGAGCAAATGCAGGTTCAGCAGAAGCTTTTGAGAGAATTGATCGTGAATACGTTTTGGCTGCTGCAAAGGCTGCTTTACATCCTGATCAACAACAAAATCAAAAAGTTCTTTATTGTTCTTCTTTTGGCGTTAGTGCAAAAAGTCCATTCTTATACCCCAAGAGTAAAGGTTTGACCGAAGAAGGATTAGGTGAGTAAGACAGAAAGGAATATGGTATAGACAGATTACTGACTATCCCCCACCAAACAAACAGCATCACTTGGATATTCAGATACGATTCTCTTCCGACCTGGTTTCTTAGCACAAGCAAATCGAGCACAATCCCGTAAAGTTGAACAAATTTACGGTTTCGTAACGCACAATATTCTTTCGCACGTTTGGAATGATGCAGAGATTAAAGTTGCAGTATTAGCAAAAGCTTTTAGAGTTGCAGGAGAGAATGGTTCCTCAGGTTTAACAAGCCTTGGTGTAGGGTCGCCTCCAAGTGATTCGTTCAGACGTGATGGAAACGCAAAAGGAACAGTCACGATCATCAAAAATATCGAAGCCATTCAACTTGCCAAACAGACCGAAAAGGCTGCTTTGTGATTGGTGTTCACAAAGCCTCTGGACTAGTTTTATCATTATATAGATCGTAGAATACCCCCTATATTTTCTTTCATCTCACGGATTGTTGCCTTACCTCGGAATATGCTATTGATTAATACGTTCTTGAAGTTTGTATATGGGTATAAGGTAACACAAAAAGCGATAACAATGCAGTCATAGGGATTGAATCTACCCTCTTAAAAGGACCCATACGTGATTCTCCCTGATCTTCCGAATTGCAAAGCAAATTTCTTGCCCCATCGTTTGATATACAATACTCGCGGAATGATTGGGTATCTGCAATGCATATAACAGAGAGATAAATGATCAGTAAGCTGTCATCAATGGATTAAGACGACTTCTTAACTCACGTATGAATATGATGATGAACGTGAAATTCAGCCATGTTGAGGGTGAGTCAAATTAAGAGCTCAATGTTGTGTTCGTGAGAGAAGAGGTGGAGAAAGTGTTATTTGTTTGTGTTTCCCTTTTTGTATCAAATAAATGTTCGGGTTTTAATTTTTAATGCACTGCACTGACTTTCTATTTTGACATGTTTGACATTCCCATAGGCTGTGCTGTGTATGTGTGTACAGCCTGCACACCCAACCATCCAACGCGGCTGTGTAGGCAGTCTAGTGTGAAAAATCTAGAGAGAGATTTGCTCCTTTGATTGACTTTTCTGGCTTTTGCTTCAAAGTTGAACTCGTCAACTGGTCAACGGGAGATTGAGAGCTGATATGCATGCTTAAGCTGTTAAAGTGCTTTATACGACCCATCCATTCAAGCCGACAGAATGACTGATTCTGCATACAAATTCCCAGAAAGACGATCACAGTCTGGATCAGCAGAGCGAAACAGCAAGCCAATCGCAGATACGCTGTGTCCTCTTCTAAGCAAGTGGTTTAGCACAATTCAAAGAGATGCAAGACTACTGGAGATCGGATCAGGAGAAGGAGAGCAATTGGCAGCAATCGTGAAAGGATTACAACAAAAGAACGATCATAGCCACAAGATAACAATTCAGCCCACTGAGGCTGATCCTCAAGGTTGTGAAGATGTTGATAAGAGATGCAATGATCTCAATAGCGAGCACATATGCATAAATGCATGTCACTGCCTAGACATCGATCGAGAAGAAGATTGGAAACTGCTGGCAGGTGATGGGTTTGATGTCGTAATGCTCTTCAACATTGTCCATATCATCCCTTTTCTTACTGTTCAGAATTTATTCAAGCATTTCGGTAATCAGTCCCCTTCTGTGCTCAACCCTACACAAGGCAGGATCATCTTGTATGGCGCATTTGACGAAGAAGGAAAGACACGAAGCGAAGGAAACGAAAAGGTGAGCTGGAAGGATGAAGAGAAGAATTGTTGTACAACCGTCACTAATCCATTTCTATCACCAGTTTGACGTCTATTTGAAGCAGAAAGACAATCGGTTTGGTTTGCGAAACATACAAACCGACCTAGAACCTCTTGCGAAACAATCCAGTCTGTTTCTGGAAGAGAAGATTGAGATGCCAAGTGGAAACGTGAGTGTTGATGATGCAAAAGAGAACGAGTGTGAATGCTGACAGTCTTTTCGTTTCTATCCGGTTCCACGAAGCTACTGCTCATCTTCAATCGCGGGAAATCGGAATCGATAAAATGAGATGAATGAATGCATTGTATTATGCTGTGTCTGTTACCGATTGGCCGATGAAGAACAATAGCATCATACATATACCCGAGAGTAATCTATGGATGATCTTGCACGACAATTGTATTCATACTTGCCTTCAATAGAAGCGTGCCTGAGCCTGTCAAGCGTGCCTGGTCGGTCAAATTCACTCTTGGCATGTTATTTTTCTCCGCTCTCTCCTTTTAGCGTAAATGCCATTCTAAGCTAGAAAAAAATACCAAATGACCAACTTTGTCCGAACAGACGTGTGCAGCAACATTCCCCGGTCTACTTACTCGGTGAATTGAAGGGAATTGAACTTTTGTCCGCCGGTAGATAGACGGTTAAACCGTAGATTCAGTCCTTTTTTGATTGCATTTCTTGGCTACCAATTCATCAATCCAATATATGATTGGTTTCTCTTCCTTCGCGTAAGCACCCTACTGTTAAACTTTCAAATAAAATGCATGTTTAGCGTTAAAATTTAACAATCTTTCTTTTTTAATTTATGCAGCCTCAACCAAACTGCATTGTCTGTCGTGTCGGGCAGGGTTGGTCATTCACCAGAATAGATGCATGCTTCTCAACCCTCCTACCATTAATGTGCATTGCTCAATTTTGGCTCCTTTCCAATTCCCGAGAAAGTGGCTGCTGCTGCAATAAAAGTGAGAGACAGGGCCCCCCTTTTTCTTCCAACGCCCAACAAAGAAAAGAACGGGCGCGTTCGATCCGTGCTAGTTTTTGCGTGTGCATGAGCTTCGGACTTGCGCACCATTACTGCAAACCAACGCGAAGAAAAAGAAATGTAAGCTCAGCGTATCTCCCCTCTTGACTGACGTACTTACCGACAAAAACTTTAACACGCGCGCTTACTCGGATTTCAAACGCCAGACGACATAGTGCGCGTATATGCGAATCCTGTCTTTTTGATTTAATAAATCTAGACAAGGCGTTAGTGCGAATTTATAAACGAGGATGCATAAGAGAAGTCTTGGCCAAAGATAGTGCGCAGCGCGTGTGTGTGTGTGTCGCGTCTTTTTGCACACATACACACACAGCTGCATAACTCCTGAGCTGAATTGAAAGGCACGCATGCAAAGCAGCACGCTGACTATACACACACATACACTCTGTCCTCCTCCCTTGGCAAGGGGCAGGCAGAATATTTCCCTTTCTCCCTTTTTCTCAATATCATTGATTCATTGTCATCATCATTTCACTTCATCTTCATCACCTCACGTATCATCTTCTCCGATTGACGAGAATATTTGGACAAAAGGCATTTGAATAGCAGCCTCATAGCTCTTCTTTCCATCGCCTTAACACTAACTCGTACACCTCAAAGCGACGGCTTTTGTTAACAAAAATAGGTGAACGTAGCAAATTGTGACGCATAATTAACAACGGTGCCGTGAATTGGTGGAAAGTCTACCTTTATTCGTCTCAAAGTCCGTATTGTGCTTTACATCCAGGAGCTCAGCCGGACACCGCCCGTTTCAATATTTAAATCTCATCTCAAAGAAAACATTTCTTGTTGCCCTCCTTGACATCTTCCGCATTCATCCGTCAACATTAAGATCAAAGAACAAAAACAAATCACATTCATTCTCTCTCGCTCTCCCATCTTTACACATATCGCAAAATGTTTGCTGCTCGTGCCACTCTGCAGGCCTTGACGGCCGCAGTTTTGGCCATGACTGCTCTCAACACACAATCAATCCTTGCACAACGTCAAGCAGGTGGATTTGAAGTCGTTTTGGAAAACTCTTTGGCTTCTGCAATGATGTTGGCATTAATCGATGAAAATAACGTAATGATTATCGATAAAGCCGAAAATAATCCAACAAAATTGGACAATGGTAAACCTGTTTGGGGATCTGTTATGAGCTTGTCCGATAATACTGCACGCGGCCTGGATATGATCACCAATCCTTTCTGCGCCGCAGGTGCTACATTAGGTAATGGAACATGGATGGTCGCTGGAGGAAATCAAGCTATCGGATACGGTGGTGGCGCACTAAACGTCGCAGGACAGCCTACAGTCACACCCGCCCAGGGACCATATCAAGATTATGACGGTCGATTGGCAATCCGTTTGATGGACCCAACCAACGGAAATAGCGGTAATATCGCATGGCAAGACAATTCCACCTTTATGAAAACACCTCGTTGGTATCCCGGTATTGAAGTCATGACTGACGGTAGTGTTTTATTGATCGGTGGTATGACTGGTGGTGGTTACATCAACCGTAATTATCCTAACCAAGATCCTGCATTCGAAGGTGCAGCTGCACCTCAAGCACTCGCTGGTAACACATGGGCTGCTGTTTCGAATCAAATCAACTCTGGTGGTTCTAATCCTACATGGGAATTCTTCCCTGACAAGGGTTTCCCACCTCAAATCATGACATTCATGCAAAACACCAGTGGTCTGAACACCTACCCTCATACATATTTGATGCCAAGTGGCAAACTATTCATGCAAGCCAATTACAGTACAGCTCTTTGGAACCCTTACGCCAATGATGAAACCAAAGCATACAATCTCTTGGATGATATGCCAGATCAAATCGTTCGTGTCTACCCTGCTTCAGGTGCTACTGCCATGCTTCCATTGACACCAGAGAACAACTACACCCCAACAATCTTGTTCTGCGGTGGTACAATCATGACTGATCAACAGTGGGGTTCTTACACCAGTCCATTGGACAGTTTGAACCTGTACACACATGCAGCTCAAAAGGACTGTTCATCAATCACTCCTGAAGATGCAAACGGAAATTTGGTCAGTGGCTCCTACACACGTGAAGAAGAATTGCCAGAACCACGTACTATGGGACAATTTATTCACTTGCCAACCGGTCAAATGGTGATTGTTAACGGTGCTCAAATGGGAACAGCAGGTTACGGTAACATGTCTTGGAACAAGATCAACGGTGTCAACTTTGAAGGTTTGTCAAACAATCCTACCTATCAACCTGTATTGTATGACCCAGAAAAGCCTATGGGTAGCCGTTTGAGTCGAGATGGTTTCGGTATCTCCAACATCGCTCGTCTTTACCACTCTTCCGCTATCCTTTTGCCTGACGGATCTGTTTTGATTGGTGGATCAAACCCGCATCAGGATGTCTCAATCAACATGCCTGCAAACACCAGTCCTCAAGCATTCAACACAACATACGAAATGGAAAAATGGTACCCTCCTTACTTCTTTGAAACTCGCCCAGAACCAACAGGTCTTCCTTCTTACATCTTGTACGGAGGAGCAACATGGAATTTCACCATGCCTGCATCTTACATGGGCTCATCTGCAAATTACAAGGCAAACAACACAAAGGTTATGGTCATCCGTCCAGGTTTCTCTACCCATGCCATGAACATGGGTCAACGCAGTATGCGTTTGCAACACACTTACACGGTCAATGATGATGGATCTGTTATGTACATGGTCAACCCGATGCCTACCAACCAAAATCTGTTCGTTCAAGGCCCAGCATTGTTGTTCATTACCATTGACGGAATTCCAAGTTCAGGTAAATTCATTCAAGTCGGTACTCAAAAGCAAGGTGGACAAATTCCAAATACTATCACAGCAGGAGCAGCACCCAAGGTGCTTCCTCAGGGTATCAATAATTCCAAGTACGATGCAATCCCAGAAGGTCATGGTATCGAAAGCTTTGGACTTGGTAAATTGATTGGTATCATTGTTGCAGGAGTTGCGGTGATTGCATTGCTCTTGTTGGGATTGATCTGCTGGCGTCGTCGTGCACGTCGTGGTCAAACGACCAAGGCAGCCGCACCTGCTAGCGGAGCAATCTACGGAATGGGTGGTTACACAACCAATGGACCAGAATACAAGCGTGTTCATACACCTAGCAACACGCCTTTCCAAACCTTTGCTGGACCTGGAAGAGGAAGTACAGGCACATTTGATACGTACAAGATGAACGATGTCAGTGCAGCAAATACACCATACTATGACAACCCACCACGATTAGGAACGCCACAAAATGGAATGCCAAGATCACCTTTGATGCACGAAACTGCTTCTTTGCATTCGACCACACAAGGACAAGGATGGGGAGAACATCAAGCACAAGGTGATGTTGGAGAGCAATATTACAATAATTCAGCCTACTCTGATCCATCGAGATATTATGAAACTCCTGGACAACAGCATATGTCTTATCACTCTAGTCAATCTTATGGAGGTGGACCAAGACCGGATAGCCAAAGCTATTTCCGAGCCAATTAATTTGGAGGCCGGATCACTGTATCTCTCTTTTTTCTCCTTTTTCGTTCCGGTTCGTTCAATTGTTTCACTATCTTGCATCATCCTGCGTCTCCCTATTGCCTGAAAAACATCGTTTTGTCTTTTTTTCTTTCTTTTCTTCTTTTTTTGGATCAAATGATCAGCAAATTTCGACATCAAATACCACTACACACTCTTTTCTCTTTACTTGAATCAAAAATTCTTCCATTTAATTTATCAATGCAGCATCTATTATTGCTACCGAATTTTCCCCACTCTTCTTCTGCTTCTTTTCTTTTCATATTCTCATCTTTACAAACGCATAATGAACCCCAAAACCACATCACTTTTGGCGCTTTCTGCGAATCTTCCAAAGGAAAAAGAATGAAAGAAGGATCTCAAAAGTTCTGATTTCATTTTCTCTTTTATGTATGTACACGAATGGACAATAATTCAATTGCGTTCGCCTCCTTGTGATGATCATTTGTGTGAGTGGGTGTGGTCTTAGTAACCAGTAAGGTGTGCGTTGTGCTTTGTGCTTTGTGCAAGGGTAACACATTCCAAAGGGCAAAGGGCGCTAACATGAAAACTTGGCTTTGCTCTTTGCTCTGAGAAACGCGGGTTTAGATGCGTGTACAATACGCGGCGTGCTTTGCGGTGTGTGTGTGTGATTGTGCTTGTGCGTGTTTGCTTGCATTAATCATGCGTCCAACAAACACACACTTTCTTTTTTTATTTTAAATCGGGTGATCAGACCTCAAGAAGGGTTGGTAATCTATCATCAATCGCGAGATCAGGCAAGATTTGTTGGATTGCAGCCATCATCTCAAGTCACAAAAGGGTTCAGGAAAGACAACTACAGCCTTTTTGAGAAAGATTTGATTGGATCAATCATCGTTCGTTGACATTCTGTTCATCATTGACGCGCGTTTTGGATCAGAGGTGCTATTGGGTTGGACGAAAAGCTGTTTCTTTTGGAAACGATAATACGCATTCTCATCATACGTTGAATCGTCACAGACTTGCTTCTTCAGATCAACTATACGTATTGCACTGGTTCAATTGACACACCTCAGTACAGCAATCGTCCGAAAAGCGTTCTCGGGCGGGTATTGAATCTTCTTTGTGGGATTCCGTGTACCTTTCTCTCATTCAGCATTCTTGACAGACCGACAATTTCCAACAAAGATCGGTGAACCGTAATTAATTTGAATCATTACCGCGCGGCAAACAAAAAAGCAAAAAAGTGTTGAATTCGGTACGCATTGGCCCATAACGGCAATTCGGTTTGATCAAAAGAAAGAGAGAGAATTGAAATTGAACAAGTTAAACGGAGAAAGCCCTAAAGCCCCAAGGAATATTAAGTAGAAACTTCTTTCTCTCAGGGGCGTTTTCGAAAGGGAAAAAAGGTACGAAGAACAGCCACCACTGCTTGGAAACGTGTATGGTTGTTCTGATTCACGTTTAAAACTCATCATAGGATCAAAACGACTTCTTAGCTTTCACTTGCGCTTAACAATTCATTCATCAAGCACCGCATTGTCAAACAGTTGAACAGCTTTCGACATAGATTACGTATTCCTGTTTGATCTAGGGCCACGTGAGAAGGCGTATTCGGAAAGATAATCGGTTGGGTACTTCTCTTGCCACCATCTGGTATCTTTGGGGAAGCTATACAGAGGCTAGATTCAGATTTTGGACCAGCACATCCTGTGCCGAAAAGAAGGAGAAAGAGAACGATTTCGTGTGGCTGGGATCCAGTGGAGGTTCAGGACAGTAACGTTACATTCCACAAGAGATACGTTCGAAAGAAAGATTGCCACTTTCAGATTGAAAAGAAAGTGGGCCCATTCACTCAAGTGCTCAGACAACAACTTTAAATTGCCAATTAAACAGCGGACAACATCCACTTTAATTGGTCTTTCTGCAAGATAGATCGGAATCTAAACGGCGACTTTGCATTTTGTGAGTATGACTTCCCATGTTTCAATTTGTCGTTCCTTTGTCCTCGGTTTCTCTTTTGTTGAAGTATGAATGGCACGTTGAAGTGCCTGCGTTTGCACGCTGATGATTTTCATCCTTCTTTACGCGCTCTCACGCTTTTTGGGGGAGAATGTCAGTGTTTTTTCTTGTCGGACTTCTAGCGTACTGTTGACAAAGGGATGATGGTGTACAATCAGTTGCATTAGCGTCAAGGTAATAAGGTGGGATCAACTGTTCCAAAAGATGTCTGTGCTACGTCGTTCAGGAACAAAGGGAATTAAAGTGAAGAGGCGGGAATCAGGTATTGGTGGGATACCGAACCCAGTCCAAGGGTAAGACGTATCTCTATCCCCACTTTCTTTCAAATCGAACACCATCATCATCTCTTTGATCACTACAATTATTCCATTTCCCCCTTTTCACTTCAAACTGGTCGAATATTGACAAAATGCCACATCCTTCACCCGTTACAGCAACGAAAGATTTATCCTCGCTAAAGTGGTCAGATTGTCTCAACGAGGATTTCACAGAAGAGTCAGTAAAGGAGATCGATCCACGAGAACACTTTTTCGATTTATCACTTAAGCGACTTTTAAGTTGGCAAGCAGAATTATTACAAAAAGAAGTCAAGGAGGTGAAGGAGAAATCATTAACGATCAAGATTCCACCCAATCAATCCGAAGAGATGTCTTGGTCATCGGCAGCAACGGGGAAGCCACAATTGTCCTATGCTGAACGATTGCGAAGGGCAAAAGAAGGCTCAAAAGCTACTGCAAACGAAGGTGTTGAAGATGGAGTGACACAAGATAAAGAGGAAAGAGATGTTAGAGGCAAGGATTTAAGTACGAAATCAACTTCAAACCCTTCCCTACTCTCTGGCGATACAAGCAAAGTCACATCTTCCGATATTTCACCTTCTCTTTCATCGTATGGAGACACAGTCGCTACATCATCTCCTGCTATCTCTTCTTCTGGCTCACCAAGTCTCGCGCCACCAAGTTATGCTAGCAGTGCACCTTCCACCGCTGTCTCTGCACCTGTACCAACCACTCAAGTCAATATTTGGGAAGCTCGTCGATTACAATTGCAGGAACAGACAAAGAAGCTTAACGAAGCAAAGCCAACGGCTGATGTCGAGACTGATCAAGGTAACAAGGTGAACGAATATGGCTCAGCGGACGCTCCAAAGCTGAATGGTGAAGCAATTGGAGCAAATGCAAAGCCCAATGAGAGTCAAGCATCGCCTGAGACATCAAATAGAGCAACGGAAGATCCTGCAAGTCTTAATGAGAATGGCAAGCTAAATTCTGCAGCAGATGGCAAGGCAGAAGAGAAACAAAAGGCGGGCAAGGCTTCAAAGAAGAAGAAGCAAAGTCAAAACAGTCAAGCTGCTCAGCCTCCATTGATATCGGATGCTAGCAATTGGCCAAGTCCAAACATGGCAAAAGAGAAAGCCATAAGGAATGCGTCTCCTTTAACACCATCACAAGACATCAAATCACGTCAGAACTCATCAGATGAGAGTCGCCCTTCCACTGATGCTCCGAAACCTTCACCATCGCCACTCGCAAACGGTTCAGTGTTAGATCAACTTGATGTTGAAGTCTTGCATCCATCAAGGAAGGAGGAAAGACAGCGTAAAGGAGGTAAGCAATGGATTGCAATCGTTCCTACTCTTACACATTCGGTGCCCCCGAACACAAGACCGACTCAACAGCAGAAACGATCAGGCAAGAATCAAGGCGTTGTCGGAAGTTCAAATGCAAAGCGTGTCAATGGCGTTCCTCATGCGAAGCAGCCATTCGATGCAAGAAGTTCTTCTGATCCTCAATCAAGTGCACCACGATCGAGATTACAAAGAAATGATGAAGCAACTCAAGATACACTCAACAAAGATGATATTGGTAACGCAAATGAAGCATCAGCAATTGCAGAGACTAGCTCGAATCTTCAATACATTGGACAATTCCCACAATTCCCTCAAGCGCAAATCGTTGAGAGTGGAGTAGATTCCACAAAGACTGGACAGCCAGTCACCGGACAAAGACGAAAGAGTGGAACACGCACGCCAAGAGGAGCGCGAGGCAGAGGAGGTTCAAAGAGATCGAGTGACAGCGAAGCAAACAATGCAAACACCTCAGCTGACACAAGTCAACAAGGTGATGTCGATTCTAATTCAGTAAGCAATGCACAGCCATCAGGATCTAGTGACCGTTCAGCAAAGCCATCTCAACGGAGAGACACTTTGCCCAACACACGTAAGCCGCCATCTGGGCCACGCTTCCAAAATCAAGGTGGAGGAGGATCGAGAAGATCAACGATTCAAATGATGAATGGTTTGGATCAACAGTATTACGATCCATACATGCAGGCGATGCACTTTGGTGGCCCACCACCGCCAATGTTTGCTGGTGGACCTCCGCCTTTTGGTCATCCTGGTCCTTCCTTTGCACCGCAATTCGGTGCTATGCAAGTACCTATACTCGAAAGTACTCCGGTCGAATTTGCACCGAAAGGAAACTCAACCTCAGAAGAGCCCACTTCAGCATTATTGTGGCAAATTGAATTTTATTTCTCTCATCAAAATCTTCAAGGTGATTTCTATTTGAGAAAAGTGATGGATTCTCAAGGCTATGTTACGATTGAAAAGTTGGCTGCCTTTAACCGTGTGAAAAGGCTATCAGGGGAGAATATTGATTTGATCAGAGACACCATCAGATTCAGCAAGGTGTTGCAACTGAACGAAGATGCAAGCAAGGTGCGCAAAGCATTCGGTTGGGAGCCTTATGTCTTAGTGGAAGGTCAACATGCTCAACAATGGCAAATACAACCACCTTCTATACCTCAATCACCCTATATGGGCTCACCACCAGCACATCCAAATGCAAATGCTTATCCTTTGCCGCCAATTCAATTTTCACCTTATGGTCCTCCAGAGATGATCGGATCGCCTCCGTTGAATGGAGCAGCGCCCCCTCTACCGATGAGAAATATGCCTTATCCTGGTTTCCCGCCTTCAATGCATTATGGTAACGCAGAGCACATTCCACCGCATGCCATGGGATTTGCTCCACATGCTGAAAATGGTGCACGAAGCCCTTCGTCTGCTGGAATGGATAGTCTTGCTCAATCTGCAGAGCAGCTATCGATCTCTGGAGGTTCGGCTCCGAACTTTTATCGTAACAACAACGATCAAGCTGAAGAGGATGAAGAAGATTCTCCCTTAGGCGTTGTGGCTGCAACAGGACTTGGAGGAACATTGATGCCAACAAACAAGAAAGAGGTTTAGATCAAACAAAAGTCACGAATATGTTGTTTTTTTGTGTTTGTTTACGTTTCACATTCATCATACATTCTTATACCATTTATCATGCAAATCCTCTTCCCTCTTCTTTTCTTTCTCCGAATCAAATCTTTTTCGAAATTATTGTACCATATAAATTCCATTCCATCTTGATCCGGTTTTGTTCTTCTTCTTTTCATGGTTCTCCTTTTGCGTTCATATATACAAGATTCAAAAATTTATATTACTCATGTATGTACCTATTTTCCCCCAAATCCTCAAAATCTGAGAGAAATATATATATCATAAAAAGGAAAAAACACATTGTTCATTGAATTTTGTTGATGAATATAGGATAAAGTAGATATGACATTAAAGTCTACCTCTTACATCGTACATGCGCACGTCACTGGTGACTGTTACTAAAAGTCCCGAAAAGATATAAAAAAGATGACAAAATCGATACAATTACAAAAAGCAAGAACGGGAAGAATAAGAAAATGACCAGAACCAATTTTGTGGCCCTTTTACGTCGGCATCGTGTAGTGTGATGTCAATGGAACGGCATGATGGGACGGATCTCCTGCTGGATTGAAAACGTTTGTTTGACGTTTAGAAGCCATCGTTATACTTTTTATCCAATGACTTGCATCACCCGAAGGATCTTCATACAAATAAGATCGAGCAGGCGTATGAACGATAAAACTTCTAATCGATTTAGCTTCAATCGAAGTCATCATATTTGGAGATGCTTGTGAAATATCATAGTGTGAAAAGGATGGAGTGGTATACTTTTCGTCCGCCATCGGGCCACTTGAGCGTGATTGCGTAGGTGTCAACGGTGATGATTGTGCCATGGCTGCATTGAAGGGATAACTGCTTGACCCACCGGCGCTGTTATCTCTGGCCATACTTGCAGAATTTGCGTTTCTGAAACCCGACGAAGGACCAGTAGATGAAGTGGGTGAAGAGGGCAACAAAGGTCCTGCACTACTTTGTCTGCGCATTTGTGAAGAGCGTACGACAGACACTCGATCTCCTGAACGGGCTGCAATAGAAGCATTGTTGCTTGCGCCCAGAGAATTATTCGATCCTGTTGAATTCAATCGAGCATGCTGTGGTCTACCACTTCCATAATTTTGCTGATCGGCATTCCCTTTTCCTTTTGTTGTTACCGACAATGGAATACCCAAAATCACTTCGCTCTTTACCTTCAATTGATCGTTGGTCTCCTTGACGCACAATAAACGTGGAAAGTCGGTTAAAAGCAATTGCCTCTTCTTGTCCGTACTTCGCAAAATTGGACCGCTGGTCTTGTGAACGATTGGACATGCATACAAGAGTGATTCGTTAGGCAGCAGAAGAGCAGCCCAACTGGTTGCAAGAGAGGCATTGAACCTTGCTGCTTCGGTAGCTTGTTGATTCACAACTGCATTGTATGCCTCATAATCACGGTTGCTCATCTGACTTGATGAACGAGAAGAGAGAGTTGGTCTAACACTGCCTATGACAGATGATCGTTGACCTTTTGGTGGCGTGTTCGATGATTCGTTTCGATCAAAGGAAGCCAACCCAGCCGTGACTTTGTTGATCAAATTACTTCCTCTTCGGGTCGTATTGCTGACCTGAGCCAACATCCTTTCGGCTGCAGATGCACCGGCCGAGAAACCTCTTTTGCGGAAGAGGTTATTTTGTATAGGGGAATCAGATAATGAACTATCATCATCATCTGCGTCATTATCCCCCGTCACGTCACGCTCAGTCGTTTGGGTGTTTTGCACCTCACCGCTTTGAAGTGAGCCATGCCCTGATTGAGAACCATCTTCTGCTTCGGAGGCTGTAGCGATGCCATCATCTTGACTATCCATACTGCCATCAAGTGAAGCGTCACCCTCTATCGATTCGGGATTGCTGCGAGGCGCAACAGGCGGACGTTTGTACAAGCCTGCTTCCAATTTCGGGGCTTCGATCGTCCAAATCGTGCTCCAGTCGATCCCCTCAAAGAACGCATGATCTCGAATTTCATTCCCTGAAGGACGATCATCAGGATCGAGTTGTAACAATTTTGTGATCAAATCGATTGCTACTTCCGTAAAACCCGGTTGGAAGTCAAAACTACCTTTCATGATCTTTTGGAATGTTTGATATTCACTTGCGCCCTTGAACGGAGGTCTTCCACATAACATTTGGAACAAAATACATCCAATTGCCCAATAATCACTCGCTTCCGATACCTGTTTATCAGTCAAAAGTTCAGGACTGACATACTCTGCCGTGCCGACAAAGCTGCTAGATCTCTGTTTGAACTTGGCAGAAGGCTTTTGCTCGCCTACGCTGTTTGATCTACCAATAATCTTTGCTGATCCAAAATCTGCCAAGCGAATACGCATCTCAGCGTCCAATAAAACGTTTTCAGGCTTGACATCTCTATGCAAGACACCCGCTTTATGTATGCCTTGGATTGTGTCCAAAAGTTGGGCTGCGTAGTATTTTGCACATTGTTCATTGAAGCTTCCCAGCTTTTTAATCCAATTCAAAAGTTCGCCATTGGGCGCCATTTCCAACACAAAATAAAGACTATCACGATCTTGAAAAGTCCAAAAGAGCGTAATCACGCCAGGATGACGGGTCAAAAGACTTAAAGCTTCTTTTTCCACACTTACATACTTTTGCTTCTTTTCCTTCAAGATGTGAACTTTGTCCAAAACTTTGATCGCATACACCTTTGCACCATCTAGATTTACCTTGGCGCGATTCTTTCTGCTCGTCTTTCCAGCAATGGCCGCTAGAGCATTATTCGAATCACCAGAATCCTGGTTCGGCGTATTGAGTCCTTTTTCACGAAGAGGTAGCAGATCCCATGCTTCCATCACAGTGGAGTAGGATCCCTCACCAATCAAATCACCAAAATAGAAATCTTCACGAGTTCGGGCAACGCGCGAAGCATTAGTAATACCCGGAGACTTTGAAGCGGCGATGGGCGTTTGAGGTGAAGTGTCGAGTTGACTGGATGTCATTATTCCAGCACCAGGTGTTGGCTGAGTGGAAATTTGAGATGGTTTCGCATCCACATTTGCATTTGTGCTGGTAGTTGAGATTGCGATTGAAGGCAAAGCAGACGGTCGCGTTTCACTATTTATGCTCGTTGCATGAGCAGATTGATCATCTGCTCGTGATGCGGTGTCTCCGCTTTTTAATTCATTTCCATTTGTGGCTTGCGATAAGACAGCTGCCGCCGCATTTGACACTTGTGCATCACTATGAGATGTCTGGTTTGCCATTGGAGTCTCAGAGTGATGGTCATCGTTATTTTCTTCAGGAATTGGATTGCCTGGAATCTCCAGCCGCAAAGAGGATGGAGACTTTTCAATAGACAAAACATACTTGTCCGAACCAGAAGAAGGACTATGCGGTGAAGAATGCCCGCTTCGAACTTTGTTGTCATTCAAACGTGAATCATCATTTTTGATTGAGCCCAAAGATCTTCTACCGGTGCTTTCACCAGTCAAAGCGCGAAGAAGATTCGGCCTTCGATTGGTCAATCTAGGTGAAGAAGAATCCTTTGAACCTCCAGCTGGAACGGAAGCGCCTGACAGAGCTGCTGGATTTGATGGAACCGTAAAGAATTCTTTTGGCTTGGCCGTGGTCTGCGTGGAAACAGAAGTAGACATCGGACGACGACCAATCGTTGCAGTAGACAAATCCGCAAGAACGTCTTGATCACCGTCAGGACCTGGACTTGCACCACTAGGTTCAGAAGGAACGATTGCCAATCCAGCGCGCGCTTCCATTTGAATCTTTTGTGCTGGTGTCAACATCATTGGCGCGGGTGAGGTTGATAAGCTTCTTGAAGGTGGTGCTGCGCTTACATGTGGACCGAACGAACTTCTGTTGCTGTTTCCACCTCCAATGTTACTGGTTCCCAAAATTCCTCCCAAAATACCACTAATGCCACTGCTTACCGATCCTGGTCGACTCAATTTTGGACGTGCGCTATCAGGTGTTTGCATTCCCGCTTCTCTTATTCGTTCAATTTCGCCCATACCAGACGTACCTGTACCAATAGGCTGTTCTTCTTCCGGACTGATCCGACTTGGTATTTGTGCAAAAGGCATCACATAATTCGCAGCAGATCCAACCAAGCCAGGCGAAGGTGGAGGTCCACTTCCAGGTGGTCCAGGTGGATGTTTGGGTACAACCAATGGAGCATTTGTTATACTACTTGTTGCTCGAGTAATATCACTCTCTAGAACATTTCCACTACCAATCATACTTGACATACCAGCCCCATTGCCCATCGCACCAAAATACGATTTAGCGTTGCGAGCAGCTATCTCAGCAGGTGTGTTTGAAGTTGGTGTAAGAGATGCAGGAGCTGTATTGATCATTGGTAAAGAAACGGCAGGTGATGATTGATGATCTTTTCTTGCCATTGAGGTAACTTGATCGATCGTGAGCGATGGAGGAGGTGATATTGATCGCGCAGCAGGAGTTTGAACGCTTGTCAAAGGTTTCAAACCAAGCTTCCCGGCACGTTTGGCCAATTTTGTTCGAATACTTGGCTTTGGACGTTGAACTTGATGAAGTGAACTTTCATCGCTTTCGACATCATCATTTGATAAAAGACCAGCGAATGCGGAAGGAATTCCCATTCTTGGTTGAGGCGGTCGTGAGCCAGCGCTGACCGTATGAGGCAAGGGCCTTGAATTTCGTCCGCCGCCCATACCAGGCGCATTACGGTATTGCCATTCATCAGATGGACCTTTAGGAAGATATCTTGTCTTTGTTGGAGAGATCGGCGAAGCATTTCGTGCATCGTTTGCACCGGTATCAACAGACAAAAGCTGACCCGGTCCATTTTTTCCTGCATCTTGATCTGTAGAGGATTCTACGAGGTCATTAGAGGCTGTTCGATGGCGACCGAAGTCACGATTTGAGTCGATATGCGGAGGAGCTGTATTTGGCACATTTGGTTGTCTTGATCTATTTCCTGCAGAAGCATTTGCCATATTTGCCCTAGCAGCACCTCTTGACATACCACCAAAGCCCACTCGAACGTTTCCTAAAGGAGCTGCACGAAATGGAACAGCTTCCATACTGCTCGTACTGTTTACGCTGCTGACGCTGCTTACACTTTTTGCTCTGCTCAAACTTTCACTTCCTCTTCCCGTGAAATGTCCTGCCGGCATGGCATCATCCATAGGTTCATTGCTTATACTACTAGCACCGCTTGCTTGTCTACGATAGAGTGAAGTTTTAGATTGAAGTGGTAAATGTGATCGGCTACTGCTTGCGCTTGCACTTGCTTCGCCTCCAGAATGAGAATGAGAAGAAAGAGCGGGTATAATTCCACTTGCACCTGAAAGAGAACCTGTTGGAGAAAGAGCAGATTGAAGAGCACGAAGATTACGATGTTTACTTTGCATTGCAGCATTTGATCCTTGTTGGTTGTTAGCATTTATGATTGCAGATGTAAGAGCGGGGATCGGATGTTGAGCAGAAGAGGGAGAAGAGACGATACTTTCGGTCGAGGCTAGAGGTGGTGTCATTTTACCCAGCCTTGATTGCCGCCGAGAGGATGATTGTGAGTCAGACTGCCGAGTATCATCATCTTCAGATGCGGAAGGCTGATATCCAATCGAGTCCACCTCATCCCGCTCTGCCTTTAGATGTGCACTCGTTGTCGGAGTGCTGCGTCGACTGGTTATGACTTCTGGGGTCCTCTGTGATGGCTGTAGTGTTGAATCGGCGACTGATGCATCCTGAAGCACGTTACTTGTGGTGTTATTTGCAACAGGACGAGATGTGCTTGGCAGATTATCGGTGGAGGCGGGTGCCGGATGATTGGCTATACTTGAGCCTGATGGCCCTTCGGGCTTTTGTGATATGATGTCCATCTTCCAATGCGTTTCCCGAATAATGTTGCCAAACTGTTAGATGACCATACCTTTCCTCATCCACGAGTGATCAAAAAAGCGTTGCAAAAACACGCTGAAATTAGTTGATAATATGATCATGAATCTTTCCCCATTTTCCGATTGTTTGTGATGTGTTGATTGTGATGGCGTAAAGATGTGCTTTGATTAAATTGTGGAGAATGTGATACTTTTCTTTGATCCAATCCGACTAAATGCTGTTGCTATTGTTATGGTGTGTGTTCCTTGTTTTCCTTTTTTTTCTCTCTCTCTTGCAGATGCCGTTCCACCGATGGCGCGCCTTAAAAAGATGCAGGCTTTAATTCGATCCAAACGCGCTTGTTTTGTTTGACACTGCCCCCTCTCTCTCTCATTAGTCTAAATGCACTATAGATGGGGTCCAGACTTTTTTTTCTCTTTCTTAAATTGCAATTCAGCCTAGGCACAAAGTACAGTCAGCCAACCCCAACCCTATGCAAGAAGAAAGACCCTAAAATGATGGCAGGAAGTGTAAAATGTGTAAATGATATATACAAAGACATCATTGTCATGAACACTTGTATTGATAGTTTCCTTTTCTAATGAAATGTCTGATTATGATAGCATCTTGTATGACTTGCATGTCAAAAACTTCAATAAATGCCACGTTTCTCAACCGCCGGCAAACGTTACGCGCTAAAAGGCAATCCCCCATCAACTTTGGCAATCAGATCGTCTGCTCTAAAAATCCAATTCCATGAGCGTTTCTATTGTGGCGTGTATGGTATAATGTACAGTAATCTACAGTCAAAATAAATATGATGAATCTCAACGTCCCGTAAGATGTCTTTCCAACAATCGCAAAGGAACATAAATGATGCAACAAATCACAAAGCCCAACTCAAATCCCAAATCACCGGACTTTTGTGCGATAGGACCGGAAAACCAAACTTGATCCATCGAAGGAATAACCAAGCCAAGCGAAAGGATCGCACTTACAAGAGCTGCAATGCCTAAAGGTAATTTACGATAATCATTCCAAACGCTTGTGTCGTATGAATCAAAGTTTCTCTTTCGAATGAAAACGTGTTCCATCAAAACAACAGCAACGAAAAGCGATGCCCAATATCCCAAAACGGCCGAAAAGTTGGATAGTGTTGTGTAAAAGTGATCGGCCCCGACGATGGCTAGTGGCAGAACGATAGCTGTTGCCAATACTGGCCAAATGAATCTTGGCACGTATCCAAGCAATGGTAAAAGTGTTTGTAAAGTTAATCCAAATGAGTAAAGAGTTGCGGCAATATTTCCAATTGCAGATAAAGCCAAAATCACCAAGAGGAATCGACCAAAGTTGCCCACACCGCCAGGTCCCGTTAAGATGACATCATACAGTGCTCCATTACTGACCTGAAGAGCACTTTCCCAAGCTGGTATATCTTTTGCAGAGATTGCAAATGCAGCTCCTAACATCATAATCGGAGCTGTGCTAAGGAAAAAGCCCAAAAAGACGGCAACAAAGATTTTGTATGAAGGAACGTCTGGCGCGATATAATGGGTCACATCCGAACCTAGCGGTGCCCATGCCACCAGATAACCTGCAACGACTGCGCCCATTCCCAAAACTGCTCTTGCTTCTAGTGGTGCGTCATTGGTTGGGATGTGAAGTCCTTCGGGTCCCGTTCCGGCCAAGCCGATCAAAATGCAAAAGCAGATCAACACGGGTAACCAAAGCCAACGTTCAAAGAGGTGTAAGACTCGAATGCCCGAGAATGAGACCAGTAACGAGACCACGGCAATGATCACGATTCCGACGGTGGCGCTCAGAGTGTTATCCTTTGGTACTGCGCTTAGTGTTTGGCCTCCCAAGATATTGTTCAAAGTGGTAAAACCAATCATTCCGGCTGCGTTCAATAGACAGGCAATACAAGTTGGAAAGTAACCCCATGAGAATCGTGCTTGCACCATTTGTCGCATTCCTAATTGAGGTCCAAAACAGCTGAAATAGGCTGCGGGTATCGATAATACAGCGCTGAATAGTAAGATTGTGATTTGAGAGGCAACCATTCCTAGACCTAGACTTGGTGCTAATGTACCACCTGAGAATGTCAGCACGTTCACATTGGCACTGAACCATAGCAAACCTGGACTCCACCATTGTCGAACAATCCTTTGCTCTTTACGTAATGGTGCAATCCCAATACTTTCGATATTAAAACGTGATAAGAATTCGGCTGCTCTTTGTAAATTTCTCAAGATTGCATTTTGTTCAATTGTACGTTTTTGATCTGGATCTGTTAATGCGGCCAAGTTTCCAGCTAAATGACTTGAAGTATCGGAAATGGAATGTGAATCGACCTTTTCCGGATCTGCGTCCTTTTGATGGCTTGGACCGTTTGCCATTTCGGACGTTTGGCGTTCCAGCTCTGCATTATGATCTATAACATCCATAGCTGATGATGATCAACTAAGATGACGAGTGAGCTAGAGACAACAATCAAGATGGACGTAAGAGTCATAAGGGTATATGAATTTGAAATGTATGCATGTAATTTTTCCCACTTTCTTCTTATCCTGACTACAACTAAATTTCCTGGAGAAATTCGAGAGACAATCTTATCAGGGCATACAAGCACACAAAACATTAAAATTCACGCGCATAAAGAGCTCGGGCGGGAAATGCTTGACTCCAAGGTGGCGTCTGTTTCTAACCCTAATCCCTATGAAGAGTCATGGAAGCTGATCTTATACAGAAGTAAGAATTGTAAGATGAGAAAAGATTAGTATGGAGTCCATAAGAAAGATAAAAGCACTGAAGTGATGTTGATGGTACGCCACTCTGTTCTCAGTGAGGTGTCCCCCGCCCCTCCTTTTGATGCTCGTTCGACAGCAGGAATATCTGTGCACTGCGTGCGCTGCGTCGTTGACCTCTGTCTCTGTTGAGCTGCGTGTGCTAGACTTAACAGATGTTACACGTATAGTAGTAGAGTTAGAATGTGGATTGCATGGGCACTATAACAGTGTCATCTTATAGCATATATACGCGTCTCCTCGACCAGCATCACCACCAAGTTGAATTCACTTTCTTCTCTCTTCATCTTTCAGACTTCAAAGACGTTTACGCTTTCACCTTGTCAGACTCGCTTTAGCTTGCAAGTAAAGGTACGATCTTGATTCATCAAAAGGAAAGCCTGACTCACATCATATCATTCAGGATCACGTTTGCAACGTTTCATCCTTGTTTCATTCTTCGCATTAACGACATATAACGAATCAAAACCGCATCGCCTCTAATGGCTAGTCCTCAACCTCCCCATCAGGGTGGAGGAGGAATGGCCAATCAAGGTTACTTTGCCGGCCAACAGCCTAATCAACAAAGACCTATGCAGCCCCAAAATCCAGCACTCTCTCCTCGGCCATTTGCAAATCCAGGCAATGTTCATTCTCCTGGGGCACCAATGGGAAATCCAAACATGCAACCTCAGCCAGGTCAAATGCAACAAAGTGCTGGTAGACCTTATCCAGGCGGACCGCAAAGACCAATGATGGGAATGAATCCCGGAGCTCCAAGACCGCCAAACGGAGTTGGTGGACCTGGTTTAATGCCTGGGCAGCCGCAACATCAAATGCAGCCTGATGGACGTTTGAGCCCAAGACCGGGCATGCCTATGCAAGCAAGACCTATGCAAGGACAACAACTGCAACCTCAGCAGCACGGTCCTGCAGGTATCGCTAATCAGATGGCAAACATGCAAATCGGACAAGCACAGCAAAATCAGCATGAAATCCCACCTCCTGATCGTGGTACAACACCATCTCAAGCTCGATCCAATAAACGCAGTGCACGTGCATACCATCATGACGAACCTGCTCCACCCGTACCCGCAAGTGGGGGATGGAATGATGTTCCTCAACATGGCAACCAACAACCCGTTCAAAATAGGGTTCCACAAGGTCAGCAACCAGCATGGCAACAAGCTGCTGCTGCACGTGTGGCACAATACGAACAAATGCAAGATGATCCAAATGCTGTTTTAGATCAAATCCCAGGTCAAAGAAATGTTATCAGTCAAGAACAAGCAAGATTCAATCAAGCACAAATGGCTGCTGCTGGCGGTGGTCATGCACAAAATATTCCAATTCAGCCTGGCGTGCCTGGTCCACAAACACCTGGCATTGGTCCAATCAATCAACCTCCTCATACTGCTGGTCAGCGATTTCCAGGTCCAAGAACGAAGATCGATCCAGATCAAATTCCAAGTCCGGTTGAGGCAATGGATAATGACCAAGCCTTCTTTGATAAAGAATGGTTTGAGACGTGCGGTAGAGGTGGATTGCCGCTTAGTACGACTGAATTTGTTTCTGTCGATCAAGGAAATTGCTCGCCAAAGCATATGCGTTTGACGACTTATAGTATGCCCGCATCAGATGAACTAGCAGCCACTTCGCAATTACCTTTGGCCATCATCGTTCAGCCTTTTGCCCAACAGCGGTTAGAAGAGGCACCTATCCCCGTTGTGGAGTGTGGACCTTCAGGACCGCCAAGATGCAAAAGATGCAGAGCTTACATAAATCCATGGGCAATTTTCGTGGAAGGAGGACAGAAATGGGTTTGCAATTTGTGTGGTACACCAACACCTGTTGCTGCCGATTACTTTTGCAATTTGGACATGTCTGGTCGACGAGTGGATTTCGAACAGAGATTTGAGTTGAGTCGAGGTACAGTCGAGTTCAAGGTTCCAAAAGAATATTGGGCAGTTCAAAGTTCACCACCAGCTGCGCTTGCCTTGCCTGCTTTACCTGCGTTTACGCAGGCGGGTACTGAAAGACTTAGTCCACAACCACCACAACAAAATGAAGAACAATTCGAAGGTTCAACGATGGGTTTGAGCGGTCAAGGTGGAGTGGCTGCAAAAGCTGCTACAAAAGCAGCAAGCGATGCGTTAGGCAATCTCACTCTAGGTCAAGGAAGAACAGCAGTTCGAATGCCTCGTCCGATGACATACTTTTTCCTGATCGATGTAAGCTTTTCTGCTGTTCGTTGCGGATCGCTAAAGGCTTCTTTGGATTCAATTCGTGAGACATTATATGGTCCGCGCGAGACAGAACAGAAAGAGAATGGTGCTGCAGAGGAAGATGACAAGGCACCGGGCTTTGGTTTGCCATACGGAAGTCGTGTTGCTATCATGACGTTTGATCGCTCTTTGCACTTTTACAACTTACTTCCTGAATTGGATCACGCTCAAATGCTCGTTGTTGGTGATATCGATGAACCTTTTGTTCCATTGAATGAAGGTTTATTGGCAGATCCATGGGAGTCTAGAAACGTGATTGAAACCCTGTTGGACGGACTACCGGGCATCTTTGCTGAAAACATGGTTGCTGAAGCTGCATTGGGTGCTGCAATTCGTGGTATGCAAGGAGCAATGAGTACGATCGGTGGACAATGCAACATTTTCATTTCAACGATTCCAACTGTCGGCCCAGGAAGCTTGAAGCATCGGGAAGATACAAAATTGTACGGCACCGAAAAAGAAAAGCAACTTTTCGTTCCTCAGGATGGTTTCTACCGAGGTGTAGCGGAGGAACTGGTAGAAGCAGGTATTGGTGTCAATACATTCTTCTTCCCATCTCAGTATATCGATGTGGCTACAATTGGTACATTGAGCGGCTTGACTGGTGGTGAATTGTACTTCCATCCTCGTTTCGATGTTGTACGTGATCGATCTCGATTGGATTCCCAGATCAAACGTGCAATCTTACGCGAGACTGGTTACAATGCAACAATGCGTGTTCGTTGCTCAAATGGACTACATGTTACCGATCACTTTGGTAACTTCTTCATGCGTAATTCTACCGATATCGAATTGGCCAACATGGATGCGGATAAAGCAATCATTGCTGCCTTCAAACATGATGGTAAATTGGACGAGAAACACGAAGCCCACTTCCAAGCTGCAACACTCTACACAACAGCTGATGGTGAACGTCGTGTTCGCTGTCACAACATCGCCGTCCCAGTCACCTCTCTTCTTGGCAACGTTTTCAGATATGCTGATCTGGATTCGACAATCACATATCTCACCAAGAGTGGAATCGCTTTGGCACAACAAAAGCCATTAAGGGATGTCCGACACTTATTGACGGAGAAATGCGTAAAGATTTTATTGGCATACAGAAGAAATTGCGCTTCAAGTACAAGTCCTGGTCAATTAATCTTACCAGAGAGCTTCAAGCTTTTACCTCTTTATATTTTGGGTATCAATAAAACAAAAGCACTCAAAGGTGGAAATGTGACAAGTGATGTTCGAACGTTCTTTATGCGATTTTTGCGTGGTTTAAGTACGGGCGCAACTATGGGAATGTTGTATCCACGTATGGTTGCTTTGCACAATATGAGACCGGATGATGGAGAACCAATTCAACCAAGTAGCGCAGGCGAAGGATTACCCGTTCAGCCACCCGTACTTACTGGTAGAATCAAAACGCCTCCTTTGATGAGACCAAGCTATTTGCGAATGGAAGGACATGGTGCTTATTTGGTGGAGAATGGAGAGATTTGCTTGTTGTGGTTGGGTAGCAATGTCAGTCCAAAGCTATTAGAAGATCTTTACGGAGTAAACAGTTTGGAAGAATTGGATCCAAGGATGACAGCATTACCTAAATTGCCAACAAAGTTATCTCAACAAACCCGTAACCTTGTTAATGATTTCGCACGTCAACGTAATAAACCTTTCTTGCCAATCATCATTGCTCGTCAAAATCGTGATGGAACAGAAGTTGAATTGGCAAACAGTTTAGTGGAAGATCAAAATAATGACGCAATGTCTTATGTCGATTACCTTTGTCATGTTCATCGAATCATCACTACGGAAATGTCTGGCGGTGGTACGAATGGTGGCAAAAACGATGGCGGTGATACTTCAAGCTATTGGCGTGGATGGTAATTTGTGGGTCAAAAGAGAGAGAGAGAAGTTGTTTTAGTAGCACACGCAAAACGTATTGTTTATCTTCAGTATAATCTACAACATGTTCATATTTCATCTTAAAAATTTCAAAATGTATCCAAAGCAAAGCAGTACCTTACTGTAACTATGATGATGACCAATAATTGCATCACAATGAAACCAAGTTTTATTTTGAAGATTAGAATGTTTTTTTAATGTATTGGTGGTTGTGATAAAATAAATACAAATGAAAGTCTTTCCGTGTATATTAATGACAGTCGTTTGTATAATGTATCGACTTTGTTAAAAAAATTTGGGGAATATGTGCCCGATCAGAGAGAAAAAAAAATTCCAGAAAGAAGTACGAGTATTACAACTTGACTGAAACCCCCAAGAGAAAACGTAGTAAAGTAAAAGTACGACGGCAAAACGAACGAAAAAACGCCGTAGGAATAATACAAGAAAACATGATAGAAATACAGACGTCGTCGACGACACAAAAAAGCGTGTATTAAAAATGTGGTGCTGACCTGACGTCCGTTTCGGATGATGGAGTCGGTTGGCGCCGAGACAGTTGGAATAAAGAAAGCCCTAGAATAATTTGATGTTCCGTCGAAAGAAAGTTACTAGAGAGGAAAAGATCCGTTTATGTCAAATCCCTAGAAGGTATGAATTATGCGAAACCGAAAATTGGGTGAAAACATGTTTTGTGTATTTTATAATGTTTCACCTCCTATACGATGAGCGACTAATTGATATTTGTGTCGCGCTCTTTGATGTTGCGTGCAATTGTCACGGCGTGTGAACGTTGCATGGCATCCCTCATGAGGACATTCGAACGGCCTCAAACAATCATGAATGCGGCTATGTCTACGTGCATGACCACTGGTGCTGAAATGCTTATCACAGCCAGTATGAGGGCACATATGACGCATTTGTCCTGCTTCGCCCGTTCGCACGTCCACTGCATCCGACAAAACACCAGGTGCTGGAGGTACAATCACCTTGTTGATCATGCCCTTGCCTGAGCCATGTGTTGCACTTTGCGTTTGAACAGAAGATGCAGATTGCGGTGGTGATCTGTTGCCTGCATTGGCCGAAGCTGACGCTAGATCGTGAACGGCAAGCTTCATTGAAGCACTTGACAATCCACGTACCCTTCGAGTCTTTGCGCCATTGGTCAAAATTGCTTGCCCATAAAGACGAGGCGAACGTTGTTGTTGATTGTGAGATACCGGCAACCCATTTACAGTAGACTGCATAAAGTTCATCGTATTCAAATCGTGGGTGTTCATCATGTTACCATTGTTGAATGCATCAATGTATGCCATGTTCGATCCATACTGGTAATCGCCCGAGTAATTTTGGGAATCATGTTGCATAGATTGCATAGGATAAGAATCATACCCTCTCGAGAAAGAAGATGGTTGTCCTGACGAGACACCATTATTGTTGGTCGCTTGCTGTTGTTCTTCCGCTAGAGGCAACATCCTCATCGTTTCGGGAGAAGCATGTGTAAGATCGTGATCCATTAGACCTGACGTAGGCATTGTTGATGAGAGCGTATGATCGCCGTTGCTCGAAGAATAAGAGGGTGATCGCTCTCCTGTGAAATCTTGTTCCGATGAGCCAACGACATGCAATAATTCAAGTTCTTTGTTCTTTGCATTCAACCTGCGTTGCCATAGAGGCTCTGTTTGTGATCGGTCAACAACGGGCTTGGGATGGCCTGATCGCACTTTTTGTTGTGAATGATCATCATGGATACCATTGTTGTGATTTTGAACTTTATCGTTGTTGACGGTATTGTCCCAAAGATTTGTTCCATTCAAGTTATTAAAGTGCGAAAGGTCATCGTTTTGTGGCTTGGTCATCTGTCCCGAGACATCCCATGTAGTTGGATCACCGTTGAGGGATAACTGTAGAGAATGTTGCCATGCCATATCGGCGGAAGGGTTATAGTCAACCGCTTGAGACATTTTCACGAAGGAAATAGGCCAATTGAACTCGGCGCCGATATCGTTAAAATCCTTCTTTTGCAACAAGTCGAACTGATTGAAATTGTCTTGGTACGCAACCGGCATGTGAGAAAAATGTGAGTGAAAAATCCTCAAAAAGAGAATTGGAAAGTGTAGCGACAGATGCTGCTGTCAATAAGAAATGATCGATTATTCCGCTTTTTTTGGGGGTAAAAAGTCGATAAAATTGAATGAGAATAAGTGTTTCTTGACAAAAATGAAAGAAAGTAAGCGATCGGTTACTTTGAAAAGTCGGGAAGAAGAAATCGTATTGATTTAATGCTTTCTCCGCGTTTAAAATCAAGTAGAGAGCAAAAGATTTTCACCGCTTCAATGTACGAATTGGTACGGCGAGCGAAGGACGTTTAGTTATGTTTGAGTTGAAACTGATAACGTTGAACGAGTGAGCCAGAATTGTGGCATATGATTGTGGTGGTGATAAAAATGGATATGCCAGATTTATCAAGTGGACATTGTATTGTATTGTATATATGGTATTGTTCACTTCATATATACGCATATACACACACACGCACACTTTGGACGAGTTCTCTCTCTCAGTGCACTTTAGCACATACGCCACCCAAGTAGTAGGCGTAAGTGCTGCAGTCAATGATCAAAGATTGCTCTCTTTTTTTTTCTCATACATCCAACAGCGCTAGACAAGTGTCAATACGGTAAAAGCGATCCGGGTACTTTAGCCTGGTGTGTCTGAGCGTAATATTGAACGTATTTATTTGTGGAAAATATGAGAAGAGGAGTGAAGAGAGAGAGCCAGAGAAGAGGGGCGCGCGTGAGTACTTTTGCGAACGTGAATCCAAAATCAAAGGCGCGTTTTCTCTCTCTTCTTTTCCCCTCGGACATGCGGTAGTGAGCAGATCCAAAAATATGGATATTCACAATCCTACATGCACAATAACATCAAAATTTAAACAAGCATTTTGAAATTAAACAAGATACATCAGATCACTTTTTCGGATTTATATATAGCGCTTTAAAATTGAACATGGAGAGAAGATGTAAGACAACGAACATAACTATGACCCTGGGTCAGGATGAAGTGATCAATCTAGAATGACCGATTCGGCAAAAGGTGATCGAAGCTCACGCTCACTCCCATATCGGATAATTTTCATATGGCAATGAAATTACACGCTATTACACGGATATTCGGGTGTCCCTAATTGGGCTCAAAGGCCGCTTCGGGAGGATTAGATAGGAGCATTTGGCCTGTACTGTACATAGTATGAATGGGGTGACATGAAAGATGATTACTAAAAAAGAGAGAGGGAGGCAAAAGCAAGATTACGGTAATAATGCTGATCGAGCAGTGTAAGTGGCAATTAGCGCGAACTAAAAATTATCTGGCATCTTTACTCTATTCATGCAAGATTTAATGCGGGTCGGATTTTGAAACCTTATCTGCCTTTAAACGCTCAGGTACACATAGCCCATAAGCTTGAAATACACATTACGCGTTAGATTTGATAAAAGGCCAAAGTTAGATTCCATCAGATTCTCTTTACAGGTCATCAGAATCTATAGAGGTCAAAGAGAGCGTTATGACCTTCATCTCGGCAGCCACACACCTCCGAGACCCTTTCTTACTGTCTTGATATAAAGGAAGGAATGAGTTGCACTATATGTTTTGGTCTCTAGATAGATGAGTAGGCTTAAGAACATCTTCGATAAATCGATAAAGTTGTGCAAAGGCCGTCCTCTTTTTAATTTGCAAGGATCTCTCCGCATTGCGCTTCTGAATGACACGTTACCTCTGCCTTACCTCGCCCAAGTAACGTAAAATAAGAATTTCCGAGAAAAAAACAGCCAAGTTACATAGATTAGCGTCAAAATACAATGCAGGGAAAATAAAGTCCGTCACATCCATTGAAGAGGACAGGAAGACACTACGGTGAATTAAACACCGATGAAGAACAATGAGCTAACACTGCCCTGCGCGTATTGATCGCGATTTGACGTCAATGGGAGTTTCTTCTCATTCCGATTGCATTTTGCATCTACTGAGTCCGATACTAAATAGAAAGAATGCCGAGCACAGCTTTATTGGGATACACGAATTGACATCGGATATAAGAAATTAAAGTTACAATGTCAAAACAAAGCATATTTTAGTAATGATAGTACGCTAAATGAAAAATGAAAATATATTTTCTTTTTATAACGTCATAAAACAGGATACAGAATTGAATATGTTTGATAAAAATACACTAAAATTGCGGAGAGGCCTCAATTTTCATCCTCAGGAAACGTTGGTCAGATCATTATTTATGATCAGACAACGTTCTCATCGTCTCCGGATGATAAGATCGCTCTTTGACAAACCGGACAACGGCCACTAACAGCCGTTAACCATTGATCAACGCATTGCTTATGCATCACGTGTCCGCATCGTAATAACCTTAATGGTTCAGGCTCTTCGATCGTCTTTTCTGTAGCTTCTTTTGTGATCTCATCTTTGGCCTCTTCTTCACCTTCGTGTGCCGGACGGCTTCGATCATCACCTTCAGCCGGATTTATACGGACTTCTTCTTCTCCTTCTCCTTCTTCTCTGCTCGATCGTCCTTCTTGAGTTTTACTCTCACCGAATCGTACTTCTTCATAATCACTTAGACAGATTGGACAAGTGGCTCGATGAGCGGGGATAGGATATAAGGGATACTTTGTCTTGATATTCCCACCAATGCCACTTTGACCGGCATCCTCAACCTTGTTTGTCTTTAGACTGGCACTTGACTCTTCCCTTCTTGAGAGACCGATCAAGCGTCCCAATCGTCTCCTCTTCTGTGGTTGCTGTTTCTGATCCGATCCTTGTTGAGGTTCTGCAGGCGTCTGTGGTGGAATCTCCACGCTACCACTCTCTGGAACAGCAGCCTCTACATCTGCGTTTGCATTTGTCAGTGACGTTTCTGCTGGTCCTGTCTTGTTGCCCATATTCATCAATGCAAGATCCGCACTTTCTCCTTCCAAGAAATTGACTCTTGAATCCGCCTTGCTCATTGGAGCTCTTGTGATTGTTTCAGCCTTCTTCTCTTCATTTCCTTCAGCAGGTGTATAATAAACAATTCTCGAATATTTCTCAATGTCATCTTGACTGATCTTTCCTGTCTCCGGATGAATGTCTCGTTGCGGTAATCGGTGTGACAATCCCAAAGCGCTTAGGCAAGCGATCAAAAGAGGCAAGAAGAATACCACCAAGAATACCATAAGAGCAACTTCCAAAATGATCACGTACGTTATACTGAGCATTGCGATGCACGTAAAGAATAACGGTCTACTATCGGCAGGTTGATGACTGCATTCGATACTTGTCCAAACGACATAATTTCCAACGATGAATAGCACAATATGGCAAAATCCTAAAAGATCGCCAAATTTGCCCATCTTTCTATCCAATCCCAAAGATCCAACTCGACGATTACGTTCCCGCTCCAGTAGACCATCTGCGCCATTCCTTCTTGCACGAGGTGAACGGTGAGGCGATAGTCCAAGGTAAAGATCGACAGGTACAGAACACAAAACTCTTGCACAGTGTAATGTCAAATAAACAAACATGCCTTCCGGATCGCATTCTTCCGGAAAAGAGAACGAGTTCCCTAAAGAAGATGGAAGTGCAAGGACCACGATACCGACCACAACTTGTGCCAATGCAATCAAAAGACGTAAAACCAATATCCATTTTCTGAATCGGGTTAGATTGCTGAACCCGCCCCAAGCATTAGTCAATAAGTGCCTTCTGACAGAGATTGCTTCATTTTCACCATCATTTTCGGGAATTCGATTTCTATTCATATCCGCCAAAATTGCATCAGATATCATTTCTGAACGTAATTGTGTTGATGTTCGTTGAGCGGAATCATTGCTTTGCTCCTCTCCTTCTTGCGTTGTTAAAGCCGCCTGTAAAGGCTGTGATTGTGAATCATTGGAAGCGGAGGGAATATCCGGTAATGTCCTTTCGTTTTCTTCATCAAGTGAAAGAGGATGTTCTTTCACTTCTTTCATTTTGGATGGTTGTTCGATTGCAGTGGTGTCATTCTGTGCTTCGGTACTGCTTTGACCTGCTTTTTGTGTCATTGTTACGCTTTCGATCGTTGCATCTTGATCGAATGTAGTGAGAGTGGATTTCTCAGCCATCAATAAACGTTGCGGAATGAAGAAGTGTTGTTATATGCTTGATGAATGAATGTTTTGCTGTATATAATCGGGAATGCTCTATGAATGCGGGTATGCTAAGTCGTTAAGAAGGATGTGATGTGATCTTGAGAGATGGTTGATGATGAAATGATTGCACTCTTAAAACACTGACACGCACGAGAAAGGAAGGTATGCATACAATTAAGCCCCGGAAATCCTCCATCTTTGAATGATGAATGGCTGTGTAGTAGTGCTGAGCAGCATAAAGTGCCTGAAAAATACGCGTAATGTCAACAAGTGCCAAGACTATTGAATGCATACACAACACATGCTACTGTTACTGTACAAGCGGGCAAAAGATCCATGCGGGTTTGGTTTATTGTACAGGGAATATAACACACACAAACACACTTTCTTGCTCTTTCCATATATGCACACAGCCATGGCCTCCTCTTCTACTCAACAGCTGGCAGCATCCATCCTTACAGCTCAAAGGCCATTATTCGCACCTCCTCCAGCAAAACACCCAAAAGGGAATGGTGAAGGTGGATCACAAAGTAATGCATTTGATGAAGAAGATGAAAGAATCTACTTTGATAAACAGACTGGAACATGGAAATGTGAAGCAAATGCAGAAGATGATATTGAACTAGAATGGAGTGATGAACAACGATCTTGGGTGCCGGTATTGGATGATGAACTCTTACGTGAACAACAGGCTGCATATAGGGTACAAGGCGTAGATGAAGATCAACCAGCCGGACCAATACTTAAACAAAAGCAGAAGAAACGACAGAGAAGTCCGAATGGGGAAGGAACAAACAAACAGCAGAAGAGAAGGGTCAACACATCCGTTTATGTTTCCGGGCTACCTCTTGACTGTACAAAGGATGAAGTTGCAAAGGTGTTCTCTCGTTATGGCGTGCTGAATGAAGATGACGATGGTGAGCCAAGAGTGAAAATGTATGCTGATACAAAGACAGGGATGTTTAAAGGAGAAGCATTGGTGACTTACTTCAAACAAGAAAGTGTTGAGCTGGCTATCAATGTTTTGGATGAAAGCTGTTTACGCGCAGCAGAAGGCAGGACCACACCCATCATGCGTGTAATGCAGGCTGAGTTTGGCAACGAGAAACAAAAAGGAGGAGATGAAGTAGATAATGCAAAGCATGAAGCTGCCATCGGTCAAGCTAATGAAGGTCTAGCGTCAAATTCTACCAATACTCAACGAACCATGTCTCACGCTGATAAGAAGCGAGCTCAGAAACGATATGCGAAAATGAACAATAAATTACTCGATTGGGATTCCGATTCAGAGCATGAAAGGGAAGAACAGGCAAACGCACAATCGCATACAGCCATAACAGCACAGCCAGAGAATGTCAGGCAAGTATGTCTACGCAGGATGTTCACAATTGCCGAACTGGAAGAAGATCCAACATTATTATTGGATTTGAAAGAAGATGTACGAGAAGAATGCGAATCTTTAGGAAAGGTGACAAATGTGATCTTGTGGGATAAAGAACCTGAAGGTATAATGACGATCAAATTCGCACAAAATGCTTCAGCGGTAGAGTGTGTACAAAAGATGGATGGAAGATTCTTTGGCGGTAGAAAAGTTATCGCACATCTCTTGCCTGGCAAACCTAAATTCAGGCGTTCAGATCGAGATGTTGAAGATATAGAGGATGAAGATGAGCCGGCTGAGGGAGAGCAGGTAGGAGATGGTCAAGTGAACGAACAACAAAGGAGAAAAGATGCCTTTGGTGAATGGCTCGAAGGGCAGTGATATAAAACAGTTCCAACTGGATCCATTGTATTATAATCTGAACAATATATCATCATACCAAAACATTGATTATTCTTCTCTTACTAATCTGACTTTCATCCTTTCTTGAGAAGATCACAACGCGTCTTCAGATATTCATAGAGTGAAAATACGAGCACGCGCTGAGACGCGAAAGACGCGTTCATTTACGCGAAACGCGTGAGCGTGTAAAGTGCTTGCATACACGCCCGTGTTGAGTAGAGAAAGGCGAGTGAGCTGCTGCACAGTGTTGCATTTTCTTCATTCGCATGCGAGTTTGGCTGAAGAAACACTCTCTCTTGTGATAAAGTACTATTGTTCAACACACCATCACCCTCAACCACCCTCCCTCAAACCCTCTCACAATGTCGATGGCAGCTGGCTTCGATACAGGCCGAGTTTATTCGGCCCAAGTATTAGCAGGAAATGAAGATTCAAGAGCTCCAGAAGCTCCAGTTCAAATCGAACAAAGTTTATTCGAGTTTATTCAACGTTTTAGGATGGGAAATGATTATATTTATCGTGATCGTTTACGTGCAAACCTTTTGGCAAAACAATTTGTAATTGATGTTCAATTGGAACATGTTCAACTTTGGAGTAATGCTTTGGCACAGGCTTTCAGGGAAACACCTGGTGAAATGTTACCGCTATTTGAAGCGGCTGCAAGAAGAAGCGCAAATGCAATCTTGTATCCTATTTCAACCAAAGGAGAAGTTCGTGGTGTTACACCGGATGTACAAGTAACACTACGATCGGGAGCCAATTTGATCGGAATGCGTGATCTTCATTCTGATTCCATCGCTCATCTTGTTCGTTTGCCCGGTATCGTGGTAGGAGCATCAACTTTCTCTTCTCGCGCTACCCATCTCAGCTTGATGTGTAGGGATTGCAAAACGGTCAAGACCATGCCAATCGTTGGTGGATTTGGCGGTTTCACTTTGCCACGTTACTGTGAAGCAAATCGTATATCAGGTGACAAATGCAGTACGGATCCTTATGTCATCTTGCACGATAAATGCAAATTTGTCGATACACAAACGATCAAACTTCAAGAAGCTCCTGATATGGTGCCCGTTGGAGAATTGCCGAGACACATGCTGCTCTCTGCTGATCGTGCTTTGTGTGGTCGTGTTGTTCCGGGAGCAAGAATAATCGCAACAGGTGTTTATTCTACGTTTAACAGCAACAAAGGTGCAAGAGGTGCAGGTGCAGTTTCTTTGCGAACACCTTACCTACGTGTCTTGGGATTGGAAATTGATGCAGAAGGTGCGGCTGGCAGAGGTGTTGCACGTATGTTCTCTGCAGCAGAAGAAGATGAATTTAATCGGATGAGCAGAACTCCTGATTTGTACGAAAAGATTTCTGCAAGTATCGCACCAAGTATTTTTGGTAACAAGGATATCAAGAAATCCGTCGCTTGTCTATTGTTCGGAGGAAGCAAGAAAGTCTTACCCGATGGAATGCGATTACGTGGTGATATCAACGTTCTGCTCTTGGGTGATCCAGGTACGGCTAAATCGCAATTGCTGAAATTCGTCGAAAAGGTGGCACCGATTGCAGTCTACACATCAGGAAAAGGAAGTAGTGCTGCCGGTTTGACAGCTTCCGTTCAAAGAGATGTCAATTCACGAGAATTTTACCTGGAAGGTGGTGCAATGGTTCTTGCTGATGGAGGTGTTGTCTGCATTGATGAGTTTGACAAAATGCGTGATGAAGATCGTGTTGCGATTCACGAAGCAATGGAACAACAAACGATTTCAATCGCCAAAGCAGGAATCACCACAATTCTAAACTCAAGAACATCTGTTTTGGCAGCTGCAAATCCAGTCTTTGGTCGTTATGATGATATGAAATCACCCGGAGAGAATATCGATTTCCAAACTACAATCTTGTCAAGATTTGATATGATTTATATCGTCAAAGATGAACATGACGAAGCTCGTGATCGAACGATTGCAAGACATGTGATGAACATTCATATGAACAAGCCCACCAATCAAGGAGATGCAGATGCCAATGCGGCCGCACAAGGAGAGATTGATATTGAGGATCTCAAGAGATATGTTTCATACGCAAAGACAAGATGTGCACCTCGCCTAAGTCCTGAAGCTTCAGAGAAGCTATCAAGTCACTATGTTTCATTGCGCAAACAGGTGGCACAAGTGGAAAGGGATAATAACGAAAGAAGCAGTATTCCAATCACAGTACGTCAATTAGAAGCCATTATTCGAACGAGTGAAAGTTTGGCAAAGATGACATTGAACACAACTGTAAAAGAAGAACATGTTGATGAAGCCATCAGATTGTTCAAATTGAGTACGATGAATGCAGTTCAAGCAGGAAACGTTGACGGAATGACACGTGGTGAATTACAAGAAGAAGTGAACAAATTGGATCGTGATATTCGTAGAAGGTTACCAATCGGTTGGTCAACGAGTGCTGCTAAGTTGCGCGGTGAATTTGTTGAATCACAAGGATATACACAACATGCTCTCGATAGAGCTTTATGGATTTTAGAAAAGAGAGATGTGATTCGATTCTCCAATCAACGTAAAACTGTCACTCGAACTGGAGTTTGATTAGGCCTCCCCTTTTCTCGGCTTTCTTTCTGTCTTGCTCTCTTGTATCATTATGTCTGCAGTAGTAATTTATTCTTTGTTAAATCTTAGCTCTGTCATCTGCATCACCATGACCATGCATCCAAGCTAACCTGATTGCTATAAATTGGGGAACTAAGTTGTCTTACCGTGTGGTGTTGTTTGCTTCTACGCGAGTATAAAACACAACGCGTCTTTTTTGTGTGTTAGTTTGCTCCACTACAACAAAAGTCCGACGACCAACAGATGGACTATATCATCAGCATGCGTTCATAAACAAAGCCATCCTGTCTCTTGCTTTGGATTACCTCTTTCACTCAACATGAAACGATTGCCAGGACAGGATGAAGGACAACACCAGTATACATACATGTTGGCTCTATTAAACAGAAAAGCTTATTTCAACATAGAAACTCTACTTTTGCATAATTTCCCGGGTCAGCTGAGAAGTGAATGAATGAATGCAGATGAATGCCCGCCTAAAGGAAAGAATGATTGTCAAGCCTATACAATATAGTGGAGAGAAGAAAAGAATCACAATGAATAGTCAGTACCGGATATCCTCATTTTCATCTTCATCACCACGGCCTATCTTTTGACCTTCGTTTGATGTTTTCACAATCATCATCAACGAGCAAGTCATCGAGGTTCTAGGTTTCTCTTCTTTTCTCATTTCTTTGGAGCAGGTCTCTATCCGTTTTTTTTCTGCATTTGTTCTTACAAAAGGTTCGACAGGTAATCGACCTTTCTCATCACATTCATTTTATTCCCCAACACACTTTCGACTTCCTCGTCTTTTATTCCGATCAAACCGGCTTTTGTTTCGGTATCGAGAAATTCGAAAGTGCATATAAAACATCAGTTGCATATCAACATCTTTTGACGAAAACCAAGGAAAGTACGCCTTCTTCGACCGAATCTCGATTAAGGCTCCTTTTTCATATTTTTGTCATTGGATTATTGTATGGCACATTTGTCTTGATTGCTTTAACGTCTAGCAAATCAAAACAAAGACGTCTTGCATGGTGGAAATGCAGTTCATCTCCGTCAGTTTCCTCAAACGTGATGGCGGTCAAAGCAACGATGGACATATTTCAGTAAATCATAATACTCCACTTCAACTCGTTATCGTCATTGGAGTGGTCGTCTTAACAATCACACTTTTATCTTCGCTAATATGGATGTGTTGTGCTTCAAGTAGAAGTAAATACCGTAGAGATCGATTTAGCAAATTCTTCAAAATTGGCAATGGTGGAGGACAAAAGATGCAATCCAGATCATGGAATCCGCAAAAGCCTGGATCTGTGTACGAATTTGGCGATGCTGATTCACTCGATGGACTCTCTCTTCGGGAAAAGTCAGACGTTTCAAACGATCGCAATTCTAGAACTTCAAATCGATCAGGTAATAATAAGGCGCCCATCTTGAGCCCTTTGAGCCCTATGCCAATGTTAAAGGAAGATCGTGGAGTCAACCCATTCGAAGATGCAGCATCAAGAAATGTTGATCAGAACGGAAGTGGTGCTGCAGTGAGTGCTCCTCCCCAGGCAGCGCATCCGCCCGTTCAACGTGGTCGCGGCTGGCAATTGTTTGACGGTCAAGTGAATCAGCAAGGTCAAGATTTAGAAGCAGGTACACTACCACCTGCCAGAAGACCTAGCTTTATCGACAGGCTACTGGCACATCGTAGTCTATCACAGACCAATGCCGTCAAAATGCACACGGCCAATACGATTGCTTCTCCAAGTCCTACCCAAGATGCATTCAGAGCAGCAAACAATCGTGCAGTACTTCCTCCCTTGGATCGTTGTGTAACCACGCCAGCACTTTTCAGTAATTCAGCTTTAGGGGGGCAGCGTACGATTCCCTCAACGCCTGCGATCCCAGGAAGTGGACTGATATCGGCGATTGGAGGTGCTTTCAGACGAGTATCACAAACGCATCAACAAGTGACTGGAAGACGAAAATATGTTCCTTCTCCGCGTCAATTACCGATCGAATCAGATTATGAAGGAACGATTGGTGGTAGAGATGCAGATTTGCCAATGGCAAGAAGGGCTGATCAACGTCGTCCTTTGTGCGCTGAAAGTCATTATACGCCCAGCTTCACAAACGATCCTTTTGCTGCCTCACCTATCGCCGTTCAACGTTCTCCTGCTATCAATGCAGCAGCAGCAGTGATGGCAGGAAAGTTGGGCGCTGGTGCTTTGTCACCTTGTTCTCGTCCCAACAATATGGTTGCATCTCCTACTCCGCTACCATTTGCGCCTTCTCCGCTTGGACAATCACAGCCAAAGATGCAAGAAAAGATTGCTGGAACGCCTCATCACACTCCAGGTATGGCAGGCGTTGGTACGAATTGGCCAAGACGGATGTCGGAAACGAGCATTATTCAAATTTACAAAGATGAAAAGGGTGGCTTTGACGATATAAAGAGACAACGTGATTGGCAGCACAGTCACGATGCATCTTCATCTCGTCCGCCCAAAAAGGATAAATTGCAAAAATGGATAGCTTCAAATCAATTTGCCGCCGTTCCACCTCCTGATGATGTGAGCAGACGTGGAAGTGCGATCAGTTTTGCAATTTCCGATCGAAGTATGCCTTCGGTAAGTAGACAGAATAGTGTTACTTATGCAACTAATGCGCACAGAAAGAGGCCGAATGGTCCAAAAGCTGGACCGTCTACCAAGAGCGCAAAAGAACTTCAACGGATCGCAAGTTTGAGACCGCATTTTGCACCAATGACCACTTTGGCAAGTTGGCTTGAAAATGACGGTCAGGATGAACATACTGAGGAGATCACATCAGATGCGACGGTAAAGCAGTCTAAAGGACCCGAAATGGAGCGCATGGCATCTAGGACAACAGAAGCGGAAAAGCATAGCATCATTGAAAAGTATTTGGATCGACCTGATGAAGGAGATCCCTTTGATGATCGATCCCAAGTGACTGATTATAATCAACGTGGAATGATTTGGGAGGATATTCCCTCTGCCTCTGGACCGCCTTCTTATAGGACAAACCCTTCACGTACATCTCGTAAGAAAGGTATCGCCCATGAGCCAAGTGCATCAAAAAGAGAAACAGTGACTGTGACGGGTGAAGGTGGTGTTACAGCAGAATTTACACTGGTCAATTCAGCGGCAGATAATGAAGATGAAGAAGCCGAAAGAAGAAGATTGAAAAGTGAGAAAAAGATGCGCAAACGTATGCGTGAAGCACGTAGAGCGGCCAAAAGAGCAGCAAAAGAAGCCGCTGCTGCCGGATTGAATCCTGAATTGATGACTTTGCCTGCCGTTCGTGCAGCAATGAACGAGCTTACAGATGCCATTAATACCAGTGATTCAAGTAAAGCACGCGAACAAACTTTACGACATCAATTACTCGATCAAAGTGACGTTGTCAGCGCTGAAGGGCCACCTTCTTTCGTCGAAGAAGGCGTCAAAGTTGAGGAAAAGTCCGAATCAAAGGTTCATCCTGTGGCTCCCGTCAAATGGGTGGCCGAACTACTAGACAAATCTCCCGAAATCACTGAAGCATTCCAAGCAAGCATTTTGATGGAAAAGCTAAAGGCTGAACAAAGAGCACAAGAACAATTGCCGGAATACAAAGCAAGTTCACCGCGCTCAAAGAGCAGATCAAAGGCGGTAAAACCGAAAAAGTCGAACTCATACACACGCAAAAGTCGTAGAGCCAGACTTCCGGTTGTGCGGGTTTTGAGTCCACCTGAATCACCTCTTACTTCAGCTTCAGAATATCCAAGTTCAGTTGATAGACAGAGAAGGTCATCGATGCCCAACAATCGTTCATTCCTTGTCGAATCAAGAAGAGGATCGCAGGAAACTGAGACTACGCTCAACCAACATCAAAGCATGATCGAGCAACGTGGCATGCCAACAAAGAGAATCGTTTCAATGCCAATGATGGACAAGGTGGAATCTGTTCAGCAGCAAGTACAAGATCCACCTAGACGTCAATCAACGCAGAGACGATTACCTTTGCCTCCAGTGAAGCATCACGGAGCGGCTAGACCAATTAGTGCTTACGAGCAAGTTTCTGCATCTGTCTGGATTCAATAATTCATCCAATAGCTCATCATCTCTTTCTTATTGTATTGCCAAAGTATACCATGCAAGGTAGATGCCAATTGCACCCTTTGCAATAAAATTCAATATGATTTGCAATTACAATACTTTTGCTCTGTGTGTGTGTGTGTGTGTGTGTGTGTGTGTGTGTGTGTGTGTGTGTGTGTGTGTCTTTTTACTGAATTAATCCTCCAAATCGCCTCTAGCTGCCGCTTTGAGACGATTCCAAGCAGCTGTATCTGTTGAAATCTCCGTTTGGACAAATCGTAAATCGTGCACCTCTTTTTCCAAATATTCAACATCGGTGATCATTTGACCATGCATTCGTGTCGCCTCTGCATCTTCTCCGCCATCAGCATGATTGGAATGAGACGAGGTTTGACTGACTGCATTGTTCCGCTTAAGACGTTGCAACGATTCGAAATTCTTACTCATCGTATGCAAAGATGCCGTATACCGTACAACGAAATCTTCCACAACTTCATTCATCCATCTTTGACGTACTTCTTGCGGCAGTAAAGTACTCAAAGCACCATTGTTTGCTTGTGTGACTTGATCTTGGCTTGCCTGACGTGATGCATTCGTACCACCTCCGGTTCCTATCTGGTCTGATTTACCCAGGTACTGTTTCATCGGTCGTAAGAATTGATTGACAAAGAATGAAGGCTCCATTGCACTTCCGTTCGCGCTTCCATTTGTAGTACTCTTGGGATTGGTTGTGGTCGCGGAACGGTATTGCGTACTCACCGAGCGAACCAATCGTAAAGGCTCCGCACAACGTGTTTTGAGTACACTGATAATCTTTGCTGATAGAAGAGGGTACAGTTGGGAAGAAAGTGTAAGAGCCGCATCTAGGGATTCTCTCATCTTCTTGAAGAGGTCGATCGACGTTCCTTCATCATCCACTCCTTCCTTTAGTCTTGCTGTGATTGATCTCTCAAAAATGCTGCGGACTGTCTCCTCAAAGAAAGCAATGTCTGCTGCAAGTGCCGTACAAACAATCATCAAATGATTCTCTTGATCCACATCTACTGCTGTTGGTGTGCTAGACCTTTGAGGTGAGGCTGGAGTAGAGGACGTATTGAGTCTTTGTTGCTGTTGTACTTCAAAAGAAGAACGGGCAGTGCCAGCCGCTGCATTCGATCGAGAAGCGTCTACCACTCTCCTATGTGCTGGCAATACATCTGATGGTAATTGATCCTGCATCCACGTTCGATATCGACTCAAGATCTGTAAGCTCAAGCGCCATTGCCTATGACTGAGATCGCGAATGTGCCATACGTCAGACCATGGCGCCTCAAATGCTTCTAACGTCCTCTTTGTGACGTGCAATATTGGCAAAGATCGCTTCTGTGACCCTGCACTGAGGTTCTGCAGAGAGGCTTGTACGCTGTTTGTATGATTGTTCAAAGTGTTCTCCAATCCAGTCACAATTTCTCGCAATCGCATTTGGAAGTATACCGGCAATTGCCAACGTTTCTTGAAATTTTGGTAGATTGGATCCGCCCGCAAGGCAATCACAGCTCTTTGTGAGGGTGCAATCTTTTCAAACGATGTCAAAAACGCCATGGAGATGATATAATTCCTTCGAAAGTCCTCCGGTCGTCCAACAAAGAACAACTTCCCTCCCAATTGCTCCATCAATCTGGTAGTGATATGACGCCAAACAGACCGAACGAAAACGTCGCAAGAACCTGAAGATGAGCTTGTGAGCGCATCTCTCTCCGCCGAGAGGGCACTAACAGTCGTTTCTGGTAGCGCCTGTTGTACATTCTCTGCCACTTTTGCAATCTTTGTCGCTCGCTCTGCCACGAATGTGAGGATGTTGTTGTACAGATCGATCAAAGGCCTTACCCGTTCCACGTCATCTCCTACGATGGAATAAGGTATCTCATAATTAGACCTCTGATTTGGATCAGATGCGAATGTGGGAGAGGTGGAAAAGCTTTTGTCGAACGTTCCAGTGCTAGGTGCCGTACCAAAAGGTCCATTTGGTGTCATTGGCGTTTTGGGTAATTGACCATCTAGTGAGAATGAATCGATGTACTTGGATGCCCACTGCTCCACCAATGCTTTTCGGATTGCTTCTTCCACCTCGGAGATATCAGCTGCTCGTGTAGAAGATATGTCTTGGGGAAGAGCACTCCATGTACTTATAGCCAATTCTAGCCAAGTAGCCTGTTCTGCGATAGATGACTCCAATGAAGAAGAAAGTTGACCCCAACTTGCCAATTCAGCTTCTTCTGCTGATTTGTATGTGTCCTTTGAGCCACTTGAGGATTTACTGTATCTATCTGGCGTGCTCACCAATAATGATGGCCCTTCTAGACTGCAAAGAGTTTTGACCAGCTTTGCCAAATCTGCTTTCAAAGCAAGCCTGATCCTGCCTAGACGCTCGGCATGCGCCTCAACGAACTCTGTATAGCCCATCGAAATGGCTTGTTGCGATAAGAATTGCAAAGCACTATACTCCGAAGCCGCTCTAGCAATCCGAGATGGTAGAGTTATCGTAGGCTTCTTTGACGATTCCGATGAGAGTGCAGCCGATGCATCAATCAGACCTAAGGATGACTGCCTTCGAGCTGCTATCAGACCTGAAGATCTCCTTCTAGATTTGACCGCCGATGTCGAAGCTTGTTTTGCAGATACGATCGAAGGTCTCCGCATGGGTAATCTGTCAACTTCCTCCTCTTCCGAAGAGGAGGTCAGCTCGGATTCTTCCTCACTGCTCACGTCCAGACCTGATTCCTCAAAGGACTGCCAATACCTGAATGATTGGTCTTGAGGTCCAAGGACTTCTTCATGCATTTCATCTTCTTCATTTTGCTGATTGGATGGTAGGAGCAATCCCTCGAGCCTGCCTAAAGAATCGCTGAACCCCAGGAGCAGTTGCAGATTTGATCTTTGTACTTCGATGGACTCTTTGTCATTCAGTGTTGCTCTGATCCCTTCTTCAGCTTCCCGCAATTTGTCGCGAATTCTCACAATCTCTCCCCGAACGCTTTCCAATCCTAGGTTGCTGCCAGAATCACGCGGCGGTAGGTCAATGCTCTTGAACGGATCACGTTGAATCCGCTTCTGTGAGGGTGAAGTCAAAGCTGCTGACCTCCCATCGATGTCTTCAATCGTGTTGTTCGATGTAGAAGCAACTTTCCAATCCAACCTTGCAATCCTAGGCCTTTCCGCTTTCAAGGCTACGCCCAAATTGACGAATCCTCTGAAATCTCTATCGACAACTTCGTTCAATTCATCCTTTAGTTGTGCACCAAACGTTTGAAGTTCATTGCTTATCTGTGCAAGAGATGTTCCTGGTGCACGCGAGACAAGAAAAGCGTCCACATCGAAATGTTGACCATTTTGAGGAGAAAGATGAACGTCGGAATGGTCTAGAGGTCGAGGTTGCGGTAATTCTAAGGGTGTATTGTCATTGCGTGATATGTAATCCTCAGGCACATTTTGGCCTTGCCTGTCGGACATCACTTTTGAGGCTGTAATCTTGTTGGAGGATGAGAAGTAGGAACATTGTCTTTCATTCTTTCTTCCAATTCTAAAGCAGGCTAATGTGTCGTGCACGGCTTCGAATCTCACGCGCCGCTTCTTCATTTTAAATAGAGTTAGCGCTGGTGTGATGCTCTCCACCTTTCTTCGTAGCTTAATTTTATTGCCAGGTAAGCATGACTTCCTTCCTATCACAATTGAACACGCATATATAGAAGATGACGGATAGATTCCCACCTCAACAATCTGGTGGTCAAGGCAGCAGTGGAAGCAGCTTGAGAGATTCACTACTAAAAGCGAGGATAGCAAAATTGCCGCATTTACCCGCAATTGCTCCGAATCGACAAGAAGCTGGAGCAAGTTCGCTGTCCAATTTGAATGAAGATCAAGATGAAAAAGTGGGTGACTCATTAGGCTCGCTATCTATGCCAAAACCAACCAAATCATCCTCAAGACTACGATCAGTTCATGCAAACATACAAGATGAATATTCTCCAATCAGCGCAGATGATTGCTTCTCAGAAGCTTTGGAGGTAGATGTAGATGAGGAAGATCTGAGCGAGCAGAGATCAGATACGGCCGATGTGAGGCCAACACAGCTGTCAGGCGACCAAGCTGCCTCAGAACCACGCTCTAGCGGGAGAAAGACGACCTTCAGAGTATACTACACACCGCCAAAACGAACAGCCAAAGCCAGCAAGCCGTTTTCGGCAACAGCCACAGCTTCCGTCACGCCCAGTGATAAACCACCTACTGTTTCTCTCTCTTCACTACAACAAAATCAGGAAGAGGATGACGATGAAGAAGATGAAAGCACCCCTACAATCTTTCTGCTGCACCATGGAGCAGGATATAGTGCACTTTCGTTTGCACTCGTTGCCAAAAGCATCACGCAGCAAACCAAAGGGAAGGCTGGAGTATTGGCCTACGATTGCCGTGGGCATGGCAAAACGGCTCATCCGAACGATGCATCATCATCAAAACTATCGCTTGACAGACTCACAAAAGATGGACTGGCAATTCTGGCAAAGATGTTCCCTCCCGATGCTAAGCAACCTAATCTTGTCTTAGTGGGCCACAGTATGGGAGGTGCTGTGATTGTTTCAATGGCTCATGCTTTGGCAAATTCGGCAAAATCTTCCACAACGTCGAAACCAAGAGTGGCTGGTGTGGCAGTGCTGGATGTTGTAGAAGGAACGGCAATTGCTGCTCTGCCGAGTATGAGAACGATCATTGCACAATTGCCAAAAGGATTCGATTCGATCCCAGAAGCAATTCAATGGCACATCGATAGCGGTACAATCGTCAATCCGCAAAGCGCACGTAGAAGTGTTCCGAGTCTACTGCGACCAAATGAGAATGTCACAAATAGTGCTAAGCCCACTGTCGAAGAAGAGCCAATGGAGGAAATGATATCAGAAGTTGGAGCACAAGATACAGAGAAGGTAGAAAGACCAGCATCAAGCTTTCAATTTGTATGGAGACATGATCTACTGGCAACAGAGCCGTATTGGAGAGGTTGGTTCGAAGGGCTGAGCGATTCATTCTTAAAGGTGAAATGTGCAAGGTTGTTGCTTTTAGCAGGAACGGATCGTTTAGACAAGGAATTGATGATCGGACAAATGCAAGGGAAATATCAATTGGTTGTTTTTCCCGATGTCGGTCACTCATTACAAGAGGTAAGTTGATAATGTTGAACGGAACATTTCATTAAATCGTATGGACAGAATATTAAACAATTTGCTTTGTATGACCCCTCTTACAGGATGCCCCTCAACGTACAGCACAAACATTGGTCGAATTTTGGCGGCGGAATGAAATGGTAGATGTGAAAACAATCAAGTCTTTGCGCAAAGTTGGAGATTCGTAGATGGTATTGTTTTTTTCGATCAAGAATGATTTTCATCGACTGCTCTGACGACTTCTGCCGATGGACACAAGAGATGAAAGAGTGCGAAAAAAAGAAAAGGGTCTCGGTAAAGGTGCGTATAAACAAGTATCCATGAAGGTATGCTCCGCCTAAGTATTGACTCTGAACGCAAAACATTGCTCTGTCGAATACGTAAATCGATCAGTAGTAGCCAGAAAACTCTCGACGCAATGATGTAAAAATTTCAACAAAGCTTTCCTTGCACATTGATAAGCGAGTATAGCGAGCCTTATCGTCGAAGAAACAAACTCTGTGGTCCTCGATCACAATCGAAATGAAACAGAATTCCGTCGCACCTTCTTGTAGCAACGTAAAATTACGACCTTCTTGTTTTGCACCGTACTTCCTTACGAGCTGAATAAAGCAGAGTAGCTCATCATCGGGCATACCGGCGCTAAGTGATAGATCAAGGTGTTTGAGCTGGCTTGGGACTTGATCGATCAGAATTGGAAGTATCTCTTGCGAAGATAAAGTTGCTTTTAGTTTTTCTATATTTGGAAATCTTTGAAAAGCATCTGCAAGATTATCCACTTTCCAGTCCAGCTCCACTGTTTTGATACTCTCCGCAGAATCGAAGAGCTTTAGAAAATACTCGTGTGGAAGCCTAAGCTCCTCGACCTGTGGGCAATTGAATTGATGAAACGGCTCTTCTCTATCGTCAGGTAGCGGATTATCATCATCATCATCAACTACAAAATCGATCTTAAAGAGTAATTTCGTTAAGTTTGGGAAAACGAGCTCCTTGTGTAATCCGGTTCTTTCATCTAAGAAATCGTTGAAGAATAAGGAGCAATCGACAAAGGAGAAATGTAAATACTCGATACTTTGACGGCAATGATAAAGGAAGTCAAATGTATGAACCATATCCAAGTGTACTACGCCGTCTAAATCGTCTGTTAAATCGAGCGACAATCTTTTGATTGATGATGATACTGACATGCATGCTTCGTTTTTTTGCCACATAGAGAGACTAATTTCATTCAGAGTTAGACTCTCTAAATTTCCTCCTGTCATTGGGTGATTCTTGAACGTATAATTATTTGCTTCGGAAGGATCCAACTCAAAGTATAGATTTAGAACACGAAGGCTCTTACATCTACCAATGAGTAGAAAAAGGTCTAGACAGCTTCTTCCTAATCCTCCGATGTATAATGAAGTTGGATTCAGGGCTGGAATATTCTCTAGGAATGCTTTCATTCCGGCTATAGCGACGGCTTCATCAGAAAAGGTAGCGCGGATTTCGTCTAAGTTGCCTGCGGATAACTTCGATAAAGCTTTGACTCCTTGGAAATATGTACCAGAATAAAAAGGGACTCGAAAAAAGAAAGGTCCTGACTTCCTCCATAGCGAAGGAGTATTTTGCGCGACTTTATACCATGCCTTGCAAGTTCTTTGAACTTTGGCTAATTCCAAGACTGTGAAATGCGAAAGGATGTTGACGAGAATTTCTGGTGGTAAATTGTTGACAAAGTCCACAGGCTGCTTTTGCTTGCTACGTGAGCGTGTCAACATCTTGAACAGGAAAGAAAAGATGAGTGATGATGATGGTTCGCTGAGTAGAGCAGATGAAACTCATTTTTCTATTTGCTGAGCAAAAAGTGCGAAAGCGCACACATTCATCAACTTTACGCCCCCCGTCCCTTCGGCGGCGCCGTAAAAGAGGTAGAATTCTTCCCCTTTTGTCACATTCGTGCTTATGCAAAACTTCTTGATACAATGACATAGGTTACTCTAAAAAGAAAATGATATGATATACATAGAATAGCTGCAAATTCATGCTTGCTCTTTTCAAGAAGTGAAAGAAGGCTTCACATATCCGGCGTCCTCATCGACTGCTTCTGTTCTCAAGAGATGAAAGAAAGAGCTACGAATTCGGCATCCTCATCGACTGCTTCTGTTCTCAAGAAATGAAAGAAAAAGAGGCACGAATTCGGCATCCTCATCGACTGCTCCCGGTTCAAGAAGTGAAAGAAGGCGGTACGAATCCGTTATCCTCATCAACAGCTTCAGACATTTCCATTGCTTTTTTCACTCTCCCGTTCGGTCCAACACTATCACCCGTGATTCCAATTCCAACGCCATTTTGCAATGCAGCATTAGCAGCAACGTTTGAATTACTTCCAAAAGACATATTGCTTGTTGCGCTTGTTTTACGTGAACCAGGTGTTCCAGATGTGTTTGTTCCGGTTAAACTGGCATAGGAGGCCGCTCGACCGGCTGCTACAGGCGTATTAACTTGATCTAATGTCAAAACGTGATTGTCTAAATTGGCAAAAGGTGGTGAACTAACTCGAACTTCAGTCGTATTGGCAGGAGCGGCACTTTCACTTGCATTGCTCACCGTACGCTTTGCAAACCATCCGAATCCTTTGAAGCCTGGGTTAGGAGGTGATGTGGCAGAAGCATTTGGCTGTTCACCAGCTGTTGCATTGCTGTGGATTGATGTATGACGAGAATCTGTTCGATTTTCACCGCCACTCGTGCCTTCCGAAGGTGTTGTACTGCTTCCTGTTGTTCCATCTCCTGTAGTATTTGCTCCTTGAGCACCACTTTCAGCTTTTGTGGTTGCTTTTGACCAGAAGTTGCTGATCGAGCTGGAAATTTGCGATGTTGGACTTGTGGCTTCACTGGCACCATCTAGATCCTTCACGCCTAGCATCTTGTCTGAAACGGGAGAATAAGATGGATTTGAGCTATTGGTTTCGTAGGATTCATTTTGCTTTCTCGTCAGCCCAGCAAATGTGTTTCCAATCGAACGCCAAGCACTGGGAGCTGTGCTTTGACCAGACCGACTGGAAACGTGATCGTGAGAACCTTCCATGTCATCCGTATCCTTATCTGTCGGTAAAGGTGGCAACTTCATACCTTTTAGAGCTTTTGCCGTCTGTTCTCCGCCATTTTCGCTATCCGCGCTACGCTCAGCTTTGACAAATTCTCTCAGTGCTGCTAGGCAAGCTTCGCTAGCCTCGCGTGCATCTTTTGCTTCATCCAATTGATTCTTGATTGCCGCCAGTTCCCTTTTCAATAAGGTTACCTGATCATCACGATCTCGCAATTTGGCTTTACTCTCCATCAATGATCTTTGCAATTGATAATTGGAACTTGATGCGGAAGATTGTTGTTGTGCGAAACCAGCCGTGGTATTTGCCCTTGCTGTGCTTGGTTCGCTGTCGAACTCGTTGGGCAAATCGACAGTCTCAAGAATTGGCGAAGAAACGCTTGCTTGACTGGGAGATTGACTCATCCTGCTCAAGCTTCTTGGAGGTGCCAATGTGTTCTCTGCATCTTCTCGTAGCTGTGCAATCCCACTGTTGCTATTCGAAATTGCGCTTGAATTGCTTGTCCTCCTGCTACTTTTTGATGGCATCAACAAAGATACGCCCGCTCCCAATCGTTCTGGACTGCCTTCTGTGGAATGGTCAACGGCTTCAGGATTAGGAGAACGAAGGAATGCACCGCCCAAAATGCTGATCCGTTTACTTGAACGATCAGGGTTTGCATTCGTCGTTCCTGATCCTGAAACACCGCCTAAATGCAGCTCCCGCAATCCACCTGCGGCCGATGGAGGATGGCTAGGTGGTGGCATAGATTGAGCATCCTCTTCTTCACCGATTCTGCTACCACTTGCGATTCGTCTATGACCGTGCATTCTACGCATGGTGTTGTTCCCGTGTGCGTGAGGACCAAAAGCCAAGCTTGCCCTTTTGGATTTCTTTAATTCTGCCAACTCTTCCGCTGTTTGAGCGGCAGGAGGAGGTGAGGTAGGTCCACCTTCACTGAGGATGTCAGGCTTTGGCGATTGACCATTTGCGATTTCTCTTGGATTCCAAGACGACAAAACGCCCAATCCGGTGCTCTTTCGGTTCTCTTGCTTTTGTGCTGCAAGACTGGCAAGGTTGGATGCGCTGGATGCAGTGGAGCTTGGCATTAGACCTTCTTGACCTGTAGATGATCCTGATTGACCTTGTAATCGCATGATCGCCCGTCTACCCTCTTCCACCCTGACACGAAGATCACGGACTGTTGAGTTCAGTTCATCATTTTCAGCAGTGATTGATGCAACATTTGCTTCTAATTCTTTGACCCGATCGCGTAAAGATTGAAGTTCTTTTTCTCTTTCAGCATTTTCCTCTTGTCCATTTTCGTTATGAAGTCGATCTGCCAATGTTTTGTATGCTGCTTGTAAATCGGTATATTCTTGTCGCATCCGTTCTAATTCAGTCATCTTGTCAGATCCTACATCAATGATCGATAAAGATGGAGAGGCTACAGAAGTGGACATCGTTCCTGTTCGCTCTTTTTTTTTGGTTGGCTTTGCGCCGAGGATGCTATGTTTGTCTTTCAGACGTTCCTGAATATGTTTCCTTTTGCCTTAAACAGTGATGGTTGTTAGAAGTATGTAACCACATAACCCTATCAGTTGAATTTCTCCTGAAGCCCTTGCGTGAAATCGTGATCCTTTTTTGCGGCTCTCGGTTCAAAAGGTGAAATTTGTGCCCTGCAGGAAAAGAGAGTGTGTGTATAACGCGACTGCTCTAAAGCGCGCTTTTTGTTAATCCAACACGCAATGCACACTTTTGAACACACAAGCGCAGCGCTCAGATCGCATTCTTTAAATGGGGGGGTATGTATCTGCGTTCTGGCGTAAATGCCTGTGTGCGTGAGTGAACAGAAAAGCACCCCGCCGCTTTTACACAAACACAAATGATCTATCACACGAACGCGACTCCTAAAATAGTTTGACGTGCAGCATACAGATTCGGCGCAAGTGTTGGGCGTCAGATTGCTCACAGCGGTCGATCAATTCAAGGGGGCCGCAACCCGTTACGTCACTTTGGGTTCAATGATTGATGCCATGGTTAAAGAGAGGATGCTTCTGAGCACGAATCTATTACTTAGACTATCATTGATCCTCCATGAGCAGATCTTTTGTTGTTTGTTTGGAGATGGTGTCGCAAAAGAGAGAGAATTAAAGCAGCACAATCATCCCTATTCTTCAGCAAAGAATCGATGTAGAGAACGCTTCATATACTTTCATCCGCATTTTTTTTTTTCAATAGCCAAAAAAAGCAACATCTTTCTGTTGAAGTCTATCATCATCACCATGCTCACCCGATAATGCCGCCATCATTGCCATTGAAGCTTTTGATACCATGGACTAATTAATCATTTTGCTTCCGACGCGTTTTGTATATATTATATTTTCCGCGTTTCGCAACTTTAATTTTTTTTTAATCAGGGCAATTGTATTCCTAAATTTAGCTCAATTCTAGGCGGAAGCCCAAGCAAGCAAGCATTTGGCGGCGGCTTCTTTTAAGCGTATGCAGTGCTCGGCGCAAACATTCCATAGGCGTATGTATTGTGAATAATAGGAACTGCATTTAAATACGCTTGAGAATCTTAAACTTTTTTCATAAGTGCACATCATACCATACCGTCAACCAACCATCTAGATATGGGAAAAGAAAGCGTACGAACTGTAAAACCATCATCTCCATCAAATTCAACAAATATGTCTGAAGGCGGTCGCGCTTCGGTGCAAAAGCAAGAGCAACAGAAAGGACAATATACCCATAAGAGATTATCCAAACGAACTATATTTACCGACATTCATGATCAATTGTGGAGAGGGTATATGTGGATAGATGGCTCATTGGTAATTTCAATGTTGGAAGATTGGGAAACGATTCTATTATGTATGTTCAATTAAAGAGATTCATTATCATTCGATTGCTGACATTCTTCACTCTCCTCCAACAGTCGCTGTGGTGATCACCTTGTCCGGCTTATTGTGGTATTCGATCATCTTCCATCTTCCTAATCACGTCTTGCTCAGTATCGAAAAGGCATCTTATTACATCTTTGGAACTTCTTCTTCACGTTCAAACGATTTGACAAAAGCAGCAGCAGATATCGTACAAGGGGCAGGGCAAACGGCAAGAGCTTGGGCGGAAGAGCTATGAAAAAGAGGTGATTAAGAATACAACTATGATACATCAATCAAATTTACACGACGTTCGGCTATCTTGACCGATTTAAACGACTTCTCCTTTGTTCCCAACTCATCACTGTACTTGTATCGTCGCACGTAATGGTCATTATCCCCCATAATTCGTCATCCAATCAACGGAGAGCTGTCCTTTGCTGTCGGCCAACAAACGACACTGTCTTTTGTCGACTAAAGGCATTGCATCTTGCTTCACGACCTTGACCCGATCGCGATTACGACGCAATACTCCACCACTTAAGGCTCTTTCGGGATCGTCGACATCGCTCTCGAGAAGCTTCATCTCTTGAGCGGCCAAAATGGCAGGCAGATGTGTGCGAACGATACGACGATATTTTGAGCGTACGATTGCTTTCCAGAGAAGCATGAAAAGCATCGATCCTCCCTGAATCAGAACGATGTCAGTATTCTCATCGTACCCAACAGTCGACAAGCATGTACTTACCATTAATTTGCGGATCGCGTCGCAAAGAGTATCAAACACTGAACGGAGAACGAAAGCTGAAACAGCTCCAACGAGTTTGGTCAGCTTCAGCAAAGCTTTGACTGAGTGGAGAAGGAAAGATAGTCAGTGTCATCGTGTTGAATCTTGGGCATTACGGTGGCACATACTTCTACGGTATCTGCGAGCAAGTCTGGTAAGCTTGGCATCCAGAACGACTGAGTTGGGAAGCAACTTTACCATCATTGAACCGAACCAGCTTCTCTCAAGGTTGCTACCCAACTTGAGCGTTACTGTCTCATTCAACATAGCACTTGCAGCATTCATGACGCCCTGAGCGGACATCACTTCGTCCAAAAGAGCTCGAGTATGCGAAGCGTGCAGATCCATGAGGTATTGCAATTTGTCTTCCGCCTGTGCCAATGATGTTGAGATTTGGTTTGCTTCTCCTTGCGCTGTATGTAGTGAGGTGATGTGCTCATCGTACGTTGCAGCTAAAATCTTCTGATTCTTCTCAAAGACAGCACTCAGATCATGCTCGATTGAAACCAGTGCTGCAATTTGTTTGCCAAAGTTCTTGTTCTGCTTGGTAATGCTATTCTTGTGACGACTTTCTTGCTTTGCCATGGCATCAGATACAGCTCTTGAGATTTCTTCTGTCGACTTGTACATCATTTCGTTTGCCGAATTGGACAGGGTAAGCAGAGTTTGCTCCATGCGCTCCTTTTGAAAGATAAGATATTCATCACGATGCTCGCGAGCTTCCAAAGCCAGATCCTCCAGTCTTTGAATTTGTATTTCTCCTTGCGAGCTAATCATGTCCAATGTGATCTCCCTCTCACGCGCATTTGCCTGTAATTGCTGCCAAACCATCCAACCTTGCTGCATTTTCGTATGACTCTCCTCGATCTTCACTTGCAAAAGCTTGAGCAAAGCCACTTTCTCCGTAGTTGCAGCTTGATATAAATTTCGTGCCTCGTCTTCATCATTGAATCTCTTAAGTGCATGACAATGAGCAAGAAGATTCTGTTTGTGGATCGTGTACGTTGTCCAAAGTTGATTGGATTTTTCGATCTGTCTAAAAGCGCGTGCATACATCCGGATATCCGAGAGTCATCAGTTTACATGGTTATCGTCAGCTTGTCAAAAAATACTCACTGAAGACATCTTTGAGAATTTCCATCCAGGTTGTCGATCTCGCAATACTCTGGCAATTCCATCTCTGTGCCTTCCAGATCACAATTTGTAAGCAGAACGGCAGCTAAGAAAAATATCAACACAGTTCAGCACAAGAAAAGCATGTTAAAATTATTCATCTTGCCTTACCTTTGCTCATGGCGTTTGAATCTGTTTCCATTTCATCGCAAGACAATCCAATTTGGGCAAAGATTGAGCGAAGACAATTTGTACTTCTTTTGTCCATCATACCAGACCCTGAATAAATGCATTCATCAGCATTGCTTTTGAAGATGTACCAAAATGCGCGCATATACTCACCATGACGAGAGAAAACCTGCTTGTAATCGTCAGCAGATATGCTCAGGTCATTCGACTTTGTAATCAAGTGCATGTGATCCTGTGCCACAATCAAAGTGGAAAGAATTCCCAACGCCACAATTGCCAATTTGTACAATGCAAGAGGCATCATTGCTTTTCCTTGAGTCGACTAATGGCAGTTTGCGAATGGAGGAAGTGAAGCCGTGTTATTTGAGTCAATTCTACCACTTTCTTCATTCGTACATGCAATTTTGTGCTCAAATACGCCCGCTTTCACTCTTATGAGAATACCGTGACAATCCGAGAAGTGTCAAGAAGTGCAATCAAGATCTGAACCAGATCACGTGCACTCAACGCGCTTTTGAATGAAACAAACACGATGATACCTTTAAGCGCTAAAGATGAGAAAGTGCGCGCGCAATTCTAAAACACAGACAAAGTGCCTGTCTTTTGCATCGTACCCATCTCCATACGTTAAGCGAAATCCGAACGGCTCGTTGACCATCTATGCACTTCATATTGAACAGCTTGTCATCATTTCAATAAGAAGGATTGGTTGTTATTTCTGGTGGACACGACTCTTTGGTGATACGAGAAGAAGGTTGACTTGGTTGTAAGTCAAATAACGACAAGCAGAACTCAATCCTCCTTCGCGCGCTCATCGTTATCGTCAATTGTGAGAGCCATCATTCAACGCGCACGGACGCAAGGTTATTCACATTTGATCGTCACCAAGATCACCTTCGGAGCATATAGCAGAAGCGATTTACACTCAAGTGTACGCCACAAACAAAAGGCGCAAGACTCAGCCCCGTAGCAAGAGAAAGCAAAATCATCTTGCCAATCTGCTCAGCTCTCTTCACACATGAATACCATCTGATTCAATCGCATACAACAACACCTTTTTGCTCCTGGTGAGCCTTTTGGGGTAAAAGGTTCTTTTCAAAGATGCCTTCAACCCATCGTACTCGATCTTCAACTCCAATAGCATCATCATCTCGTGATTCTGCATCGATACAAATAGCTTCAATTGCTGCTTCGACAGATATACCTTCAAGCAATGAATTAGCATCACTTGCACGCATATTACGTGATCGAAAGAAGCTATTAAAGAGAAAGCTTGAAGTTGTACAAAATGATGAACAGAATATCACAAGTGGTGGCAAAGGTACCAATACAAGACGAACGACACTTCTGGAATCTCTGGAAAATATCGAATCATCATCTGCTAGACGATCGAGAAGTAGATCTCCAACAGGCTCAGCAAGAAAAGAAAGACCGACACCTTTGAATTTACAGACTAGCTCAGGCAAGCTCAACAGAAATGCAAATCTTTCTTCACCGACTTCTGCTACACAACCACTCCCGACTGGAGATGGACAAAGACCTAGAATAAAGGTAAAGAGAGAATCAGAGAGGGATAGGAGTATAGATGCACATAGTGTAGCATCTGGCTCAGGATCACACGCACTTGGATCGACAAACAGAGCTGGAAGTGAAGCAAGTCCAGGTCCTGATGGTGATTGGGATGATGAAGGTCCATCAAGACCGGGAAGAGGATTTTTCAATAAGCGTAAACGCCATCGTGGCACGAATGATCGAGATGGATCGGCTGATGAATATTCTCAATCGGAAATTGATAGTCCTGCTCCTCCAGCATCTTCTCGAGTATCCGGTCAAGGTGATTCATCATGGCCAAAGCGTGAATCGATGTTCTCCAGTTCGACTGGTGCTGCATCTACACACAAATTGAAATTGAACCCAACTGCGCAAACTGCACATCTTAAACGTGATTCACTATCCGGTGGCATGCTTAGAAGACCTTTGGGGTTGCGAGGTGATGACTTTGGTCAAATGCCTTTGACACCCTTTCAAATCCAGCAAGCTGCAATGTGGGAATTGCCCAAAAGAACACCAGATACGTTTATACCAAAGGAGGGACAGAGAAGGCATATTCGACCATATCCGATCAAGCCTGATGAAGTGGATGTTGATTTCTCATCAATGGATTGGAGAGAAAGAGATAAGGAGAGAGATAGATTGGAAGCAGCGGCTGCAGCTTCGGCAGCAGGAACTCCAGTCGGACCTGGCCCGGGACAAGCAGTTGTAAAGGATACAGCCGTTAGTCGAGCAAGGGACAGAAAGCAAGATCAAGTGCCTTTTCATACCTTTCAACAATGGTGTGATGGTTGGTTTAGAACATTGACGGATGAGGATTTGGCTTGGCTATCCAGCAAATCTGAAGATATGGACCTTTTCTCAATTCCTTCGCTTGGCAGACATTACAAGGAAATATGGGAAGAGGAAGAAGCAAATGGTGCACTTGTACCTACCGTATACCTAACAAATGCCCCTTACAGTACTACACCGCTACAGTCCGCATTCCCAGTCTCTGCCAATATGAATGGACGGTCTATGCCAGGAAGTAGCAATGGAATGGGACCGGGTATTGCTTCTTCACACATGACAAAACCTCCAAAGTTCGATCCACGTCAATTGAAAGACGATCACCTGTTTGCCGGTTCATTGGATGAAGTACGCGGAGGTCCATTCACAGAACGACTTTTGAGTGTTTTGCTACCAACGCCACCGCCTAGTGATGATTCAGGAGAGGCGAATCAACAAGCCAATCAGAATGCTGGACCGGGTGGTCTAGTATTGATAAGTGGACATGGAGGAGGCAATGCAGGTACTTCTCAAGATATGGCAGATTACGAAGACAGATTGATGCGTGAGCTCAAAGCGATTGATGTGATTGGGAATGAAGATTCGATTGATTGGTCAGATCGAACGGATGATGAAATTTCTTCAACTTTACGTAAAGTACAAAACCTACTTCGAAAACAAATTCGAATCAACGAAGTACGAAAGTTACGTTTATACGAGCTTGCTAAAGATCGTATGGGATATCAAGATTACGTTGCTTGTTTGACTTCTGCCGAAAGGGAAATCGAATCTGGTTGGCTAAAAAGACAACAACAAATCCGAAAGAGTATGTCTGCACAAAAGAAGAAAAAAGGAAGTACCTCTGGAGCTGGCAGTGGTGCGGCAGCAGTGGCAGCAGCGGCGATTGGAGATACGAATGCTGCGAATAGTCCGGCAGCTGCAGGAACGCCAGGCGCAAGTAGTTCAGCAATGACTGCTCAAGGTTCAACACAAGGTTTCGTTGCTGAAAATCGTGGTGGTGGACCGATTAAACCTCAATTTTCTGATCAATTAATCAGTGCAATGGATAAACGTCGTAAATTAATCTTTGCACTTGAACCAATCTTTGCCAAAAATCCTCTGGCCAAATTTACACCAAAAGGCGATGAGTCAATTTATGCAGATTTGGATTTGAATCAGTAAATACACATTGTACTATACTATAATTTATCAACTTTTGTCTTTTTCTGAAAATAATCAGTGATGTATTGATGGAGTGATATATGAAAAAAGAAAGATATGGTACATAGCCTCTGTGCGTAGAGGTATTGGATCGGATGATCAATTGAGCAAGAGTTGACCCATTGTATTCTGCACTACATCATCTTGTCCTGCAGAGGAAGAAATCATGAACATCGAAGCAGCTTCGATCAATTGTTCAGAAGAGAATTTGCGCATGATGTATTCGACTGATTGACTGCGGGAGTGAAGAACAAGTCTAGCCAAGATTTCACCGCATGCGACAAAACAAGCAACGACGATCAAAATGATAATAATCCAAGTGATTTGATTCATTGATTGAGATCCTAAATGATCATGAATCACTTCCAATAAATCATTTCCTACTGCAAGACGTTCGTTTAAGTTTTCCACTCTTTGATCGATTTCCAAATATTCTCGAATTGCATCGTACAGTGCTTTCAAAGATGCTTCACTCCAGAATAATTCTGGCGTATCCAAAACGTTTGATGTCAAATTAACATCAACACGAAGTTTGAACAATCTTCCCGTCAATCGTAAAGCTTCTCGTCTTTTCAAATTCAGTTCTCCTGAACTTGCTAATTCTTTTGGGATGTGACTTGTTAGTTCCAAAGTCTGTTGCATGCTCTCTTCGAATACGCTCAGCTTCGTAGATTGAGCGATCGCATGAGCCAAAGAAAGTTTCAAAAGATGATTTGATGCTCTGAAGGTGAAGAAATCGTTGAAGATGCGTGGTGCAGGGACGGAAGGATCATAGCAAAAGTGGAAAGATTCCGTTTCTTCCCCTTCTGCACCCAAGGATGGACCACCGCGTAAGCAGCCAGAGCTCACAACATCGTTGATCACACTTCTCTCTTCACTTGCTGACATGTTGTACATCACCAACACTCCATAGGGCAAAATAACCAATTCGGCAGTTTGCAAAGCTTCCATGATCGAACGTGAAGTGAGCATATTGGTAGAGCAATCATGATTGTGAGAAGCCATATTTGGTCCCATCTCGCGTACTCTCTTTCGTGTACGTCTTGTACGATGCGAAGGTCGAGATTCTTCTTCTCCTCTATGATGTTGATTGCTGCGGTGTCGATGCCCATTATTGAATTCGCCATCTTCCAATGTATCATGGCTACGTCCTCCTGCATCCCTCTCCTCATCTTCAAAACGCATAACAGGCATGATTGATGATTCTACATCGCCAGCCTCAATTCGTAACTGTTGATCGTACAAATCTCTCGCGCCTGCTCTGTCAGCGTTTGAAATTTCTGTCTCTTCTTGTTCTAAAGCTTCCTCTTCTTGTAATTCGGTGATTGCTTCTTGCACTGCTTCAAGATTATCTGTTGGCTGTAAGGCACGAGGTGTTTTGGCTCCCCCATCGACATCTTCCTCCTCTGTGATGAGTCGATCGTAGCTTGTAGTTAGCAGAGGACTTTCTTCTGAAGGGTCTTCTTCCAACCCTTCATTCACACGCCCGATATTTCGGTCATTTTCCTGCTCGGTTTCACTAAATTCTGCTTCACTACGATTACCACTTTCTCCATGGTCTTTTCGGATTCTATCTTCACCTTCACGATCGGTCTCGGTTTCAGTGACGTCGCCTCTACCATTAGACTCTTGCTGTTTCCTTCTCCTTTCTGCTTGTTCTTCTTCATCTTCTTCTTGACCACGACCTTCACCTCCCATGATATAGCCTTGTTCATCAATCGCATCGCCTTCGTCGTCTTTGTTGTTTGCTACAAAGTAACTTCCAACATATCCGCTTTCTTCACGTTCGACGATCTCACGTTCTCTTCTTGATTCAGCGCCAGGGCTGCCGTATCGTGGCTCTGGAGCGCTTCTCACTTCTGCTCTACCAAAGCCAGGTAGAAGCGGCTTGAAATACACCACATAAGCACATTCGTCGTACAATCTAGGACGAACACCATGTTCTCTGCGCAAGAAGCCGATCAAAGTCGGAAGGTGGATAGAAGGTGCGATGGCATATGATGTCAAACGAGGCAAAGGCGTATGCAAACGTGCTGAAGGTGCCAAACGTTCAAAGGTGTGAAAGACTGGACCAGATGCTTTTGGTACTCGTGGTGGTGCTCTTGCATGTGCTGGGCCACGCATGCCCGGGTAGGCAGATCTCGCCTTTGCGGATGCTTGCTCAGCCGTGCCATGACCAGGTGCACTTTTAGGTTTGCGGGCCAATTTGCGTTCAGCTCTTTCCTTCTTTGCTTGTTCTGCCTTTGCTACAGCTTCTTCTCTTCGTTTTCTGGCTGCTTCTTTTGCTTTCTCGCGTTCTTCTTCGTCCAAATCGTCGGCCAATTCATCATCTGCTCTTGAAGCAATTTCAACATCCGATTCTTCTTCACTTGATGATTCGTCATCATCATCGTCATCTTCCTCTTCTTCATCATCTTCCTCGCCGGGCAAAGGTGCCAATTGACTTTCACTGGGCAAAACGACATGCTTTCCGGTCGTCTTACTCGTTCTTACCGGTTTATCGGCACGAACGGGTAAAGAATATCTTGTTGCTCTTGCGGGTGTGCCTTGTCCAATCTTTGGACCTGATGATACTTTTCCACTTGACGTATTTCCCGATTTTACAACACCACTTGGCGGTGCCATGCGTTTCTTCAACATGGACGCTTTGAGCGTTGGTTGTGCACGACTTCTGCTGGGTGGAATTCCACCTACATCAGCACCGGAAGAAAGACTGCGCATAGATGCAAGAGCGGGAGGATTCTGAGCGTTTGTGTTTGTCTGTGCTCCAGTAGAAGGTGTACTAGAAGTATTTGAAGTGATGTCTTTTCCTTGTGGAAGGGATGTCGTTGAGCGATCCGACAAAGACGTCTTTAGAGGAGGCTTTGATTCCGTATTTCCACGATTACCTCCTAAGCCAGGCATTATTATACCTTTTCGAATCTCTTCCAATTGACTTGGATCTACCCTTGCTTGAAGATCGGATTGTGAAATATCTTCATCTTGTCCTTCTCCACTTCTTTTTGATGAAGCAGAATTACGACGAAGTGTAGGAGGGCCAACCATTGTGAGTAGGAGAAGAGGCTTGCTGAAGTGTTGTTGTATCTGGATTCTTTAGTTCATGCGGTCGAAGTTGTATTTGTGCAAAAGCCAGAGTCCAGCTGCGATTTGCCAAGATGAGAATCAGATCTCTGTCTACGACTCGATTGTGTGGATTGGTGGTCGTTGAATCCGGTAATGCTACAAAATGCGATCCTATCGTCCACTTCGAATAGTCTGTCGGCCACGATTGAATGCTGACTGACCACAAAGACTAATGTGTAAAAGTCTTTTGTCAAATGACAAGGTGAACTTGAAGTGGTAGCAAAACGTAACAACGAGAGCTAGAATTTTTGCAGTCAAGCCAAGCAAGCCAGTTAGCCGCTTATGTGCCCGGCGTTTACCTGGCTTGGACGGATTCAATTTTACCCCCTCTCAGATTCAATAAGCGCGTGCCGCTTGAAGTAATGGAGCAGCGTAAGGGGGGGCGATTGCAATAAGTGGAGAAAACAATACAATGAATGCGTTCACAGACGATGGTCATCATCACACATCATAACGGATCGATTCTATCTTAAGGGCAGACTTCATCTTATCACACCAGCCCAACACTTTCAAACGTAAATGAGTAGAAGTACCATTAAAGAGGATCTGTATGGGTAAAAGAAAAAGAGCACAAAGAGGCGCGCAATACAAAAATTGTATGAAAAATGCCTCAATTTGAACCTTTGAATTAGAGGAGAGCAAGGACAAGTCTTTGTGTGTATGAGACGGTGTCCATAATGGGATAGTTGTTGAGATAAAAACTTGTGGGAGAACGTAAAATCACCTGCACGGCAGGATATCATAAAAAGAAATTTGCAAAATAAAAAACGTTTTTAATATCTTTCGTGAGCGTCATCAAAACCCGTTTCGAATAGCAGAACAAGGGGAGGAGCAGAACAGAGAGGAAAAGAGGGAAGGCATCATCGATCGCGATTGCGCTTTCTTAATCGAGTGACATTCTTGCACCCGTAATGATTCCTGTATCCAAACTTGCCAATTTTGCAAATGCGCCAGGTGTAAGATCAACTGCTCTGTCTGAACAACTTTCACAGTAATCAACAACTTTAACTTTGATATGCTTGTTCTTGTGGGAAATACGAATATGATCACCGCATGCGAATGCACCACCTTTTTTGACGGCAGCGATCATACTGTTACGCGAAGGTGTTGGTCCACCGCATGCTGGATTGTCTAATTGACTACCAGAGTAAAATGTAATTCTTGGAGATGTCATTGAACGTTCTTGTAATTCATTGCTTTCTGGGATTGGTGCAGCTGATGTGAATGTGCTTGTTGCAACGGCCAAAGTGGCTAAAATTGTAACAAAAGCAGATGTTCTCATTGTGATTGATTTGTGTTGATGAATGAATGTGTGGTTTGTTGATATAAAAGACTTTATTATTGTCGTAAGAATTCAACGAATGTGATAATTGTTATTGCTTGAGACCTAAATCGATGGCACTTGCTATGGCCTATGGAAGAGGGAGTGGGAGTGGTTGGTGATAGTAAGAAAGAAAGGTTTAGAAACAATTCAACTATATAGTATAGCTGCTGCCGACCACAAGTGGAAAGTTTACATTGATTGCCGTTAATCTGTATCGGGATATGCTTCTACTCTTGCCGAGGAGAGGGGGGCTAATGTAAACATGCAGAAAACTTTAATGGAGTAGATCATTATTGGATATAACGGGGACCCCCTCCGGACTTCTATGGTTTAGAGTGCATGTCCAGTCGCTTGGTTTTGAGAGAAAGGAACAAAGGCTTACCTCCTCTTCCCACACCAAAATGATAATAGAATTCTTTTTTTCCGTTCAAATTATAAGTATAAGATCTTTATGTCGATCGAAATCTAGGTACATATATGAGCTACTCATTATGCATAGAAGATCAATCTCTTTTTCTCCTTTCATGTGGCTTCTCATTTAGGTTAGTTGCCGGGGAAAAACAACAACCCTTTTTATGTAGAGAAAGGAAGCTCGGAAAACTTTACCCTAGTCGTCATTTACCATAATGTACCTGTTTGTAGTAATTAAATGTCAACCTATCCATTGCGTTGAATCTCAAAGGGGGAAAGACAAGGGTAACATTGTTCACCCTTAATGGAAATCAAAACAAAGCATTGCTTGTTGGTTGACATGTCTATGCGTAAGTGATATATCCCGTGAGTACGCGTTGTAAAGAAAGCTTCTATTGAGCCACATCAATTATTTCCCTGCATAAATATATACACGCGCGAATACTTTAGCGTTCAGGGTGCGCAGCGCAGAGCATTGCACAACACACGCGGACAAAAGCATAAAGCCCGCTCCGGCGGAAGCACCCTAGCATTGTAACATGCAGCAGAACAGTTTGGCTGACAATACATACAACCAACGCGTCTTGGCTTGCAAAGAAAGACGCCGTGACACACATCATCATCATTACAATCAAAGGCGGGGAAAGTTGGCCTTTACAGAATGGATGAGCCACAGTTTAAAAGACATGACAAAGCCGGCGGTTTGTTATCAATTATAATTACATGCTATTTGATTCGCTATGATGGCAATGATATTGTACAATCGAATGTTGATCACTCTCCTAACTCATTCCTACTTTCCTAACATTTGACGGAATGCATCTTGCCCTTTACCCTTGCTCGTATCTTCCACATCCATAGGAACGGATCCTGTCTGTCGAACGAATGTATGTCCTCCTCTTCTGCCTCCTCGACCGCCTCTGTTAGAACGATTGCCGGCTTGTCGAGGTACCATATTATTGGTCGAAGCTGTATCTTCATCCATCATTGTATTTGACGAAGAAGGTGAAATTGTAGCGCTAGATCCTGCAGTCATTCGACCTGCTGCGCCTCTGCTTTCAAGTGGGACAAGTTGAATGGGATGTTGTTCATCGTAAAACAGCGTCGAAGATGCAATCAAGGCTGCTCGACCGGCCGTTGGGGCATCAATAAACTCTACCGTTGCTTTTTGCGATTGTCCAGCTTGCCATTCGATTTGCTTCACACTACCATGTCCTAACACCTTTTCGACAATTTGCTGGATGATTGCTTCTTGGGCATGAGATGGTAAGCCTCGGATGTATAGACATCTACTCCTTCTCTCGATGTCCATCCTCGACGTCAGGCTATTGGACTCGTTCCCACCTTGCATCTTCTTTTGATCTACTTTGCTGACCCTCAGTAGCTTTCCTTGCAACCGATAGCCACCTCCATCCATCTCAGCCGCCTTTCCAAGAACTTGTTGTGCATCTAATGCAGTTTCCATGTCCACATAGGCGATTCCACGATTACGTCCATCGGGATGTTTGAGTATCCTGACTTGGGCTACTGACTGACCGAACAACTCCTTCAAATCTGCTTCTTCTACATGCTTTGGCAAACCACTGACAAATAGCTCACAATCGTCCTTGAACGCATCACTGCGAACCTTTTTGCGATTAGGATCAGACATCATCACTTGCATGACCGTCTTGTCTTCTGCGAAAGAGCGATTGTGAAGCTGTTTTTGCGCAGCATGCGCTTCAGTTGGCGAGCAGAATACCACATAGCAAAATCTTCTTGTAGCATTGAACTTTTTACTTGGCCAGCGAACATCAAAAATCCGACCAAATTCGCCAAACAACTCCCGCATGCTTTCATCCGAATCGTATGTGGGAGGAAAGTTGGTGACATATAATGTGCACTTGTAACCTAAATGAATATTAACCTGAAGCGATCGGATGGGCTTTCCTTGACGACTTTGAACGGCAGGGATGGCATCCCTACTGACAAATTCAACAAGTGCTGTAGCTGTTTGCTCTTGTGCATTTGAACTCTGCCAGACCTTCGGTCCAGTGATTTCAAGAATGTCACCGCAATCTCTGAACAGATCAAAGATGTCTTTCTCACTCGCATCGGCCGGTAAATTATCAACGATGACCGAACTGTGTTCCCGATCACGTTGATTCTTGACTTCTCCCATCTTACCGCGTTTGTCTTCCGGTGACATTGGCTCGCGTGATTGATCTTGATCGTGATTCTCCGCCTTTCGCTTTGAGCCAGTATCGACGGCTTCATCGGCCATTTCTGTATCTGCAACAGCCGTTTGTTCGTTGGCAGTCGCAGACATTGCAGCGTAAGAAGAAGCATAATATTCTGACCAGCTTCTTTCACGCTCTTGTGCTACTTTATGGTAAGCCCAATCCACGTCAGGTAAACTTCCCGACAACCGACTGACTTGCAGTAGCTCTTGTGCCAGTTCCAACTTCTTTGATGAGCTAATATCCCTTCTGCTAAGTCCTTGCTTCAACAGGTGTTTCGATTGACCGTACATCGTCCTCATTTGATAGTACTTACTACTGAACAGGATAGCCGTGTGATTTGTGGGTTGCGCCTTCATTGCTGCATCCCAAAAAGGTTCCATTAGAGCAGCAGTTTCTTGTCCTCCTCCCAAACACCATTGACTGACGACTTGATGAAGCTGCAGCTGCTCATCCGCTGGCTTGACCTGAGCAATACTCTCTAGCGCAAAAGACATGACAGCAAAGACGCTCATGAAAGCATCAGAGGAATAAATGAGCAGTTCGAACGCTGACTGTACATCCTTCGCTTCGCCATTCGAAACGAGCTTTTGTGCGGCCCTATCCCTTTCTATATCTATACGTGCAAGGAATAGCTCAGTGAGGGATTCTGCGTTGCTTTGCAGCTCTTCATTGCACATCATCGTTGCAAAGGTGGCATCGATTTGTTCAGCGCTCTTTCCCGTACGACAATACGTCCGCAGGATCTGACCTTGCAGTGCACCATTTGCCGGAAGTGCTTTGGTAGCACGAGCGCAGACATCATCGCAAATCGATGCAGATGCCTTTGCCGATCGCAAGAAATGCAAGTAATTGGACCAAACTTCCGCACATGCTTGCAAATCTGCCTTTAGTTCTTCCTCTTCTTTCGCCCGCCTTTCCGTGCGTTGTTGCTTACTCTCTTTCTCTCGCATTGATGCAATTTCTTCCCTGCTGATCGGCAATCCACCCCATGACATCAATTCTTCGGCACAGGATGGCGGTAAGCCACAATACAGAAGTGCACGCTCGAAAATGGCGATTACACTGTCAGTATCAATCGTCTTTGAGCCCTTCTTTGCGCCTCCCACGATCAATCCAGATGCCCATGAGGTGTACGGTTTCCATGCAAGCCATCTTTGCGAAATTCGAGATGATGCCGGTATTGATGCGACCGTTTCCTCCCATCGATTTGTGACTTCTATGATCTGTTTCGCACGTCCTACCATATCGTATGCCGCTGACATGATTGATTCATATTCTGCCGGGGGCAATCGTTGTGTGACAAAAGAGCTCAAAGCTTGTGCTGTGGCTTCGTATTGTGTATGAGGCGTACGTAAACGTGACAGCAAGATAGACTTGATCCGTTCTGTGTCCCTTTCACTTGGCGGCTGACTTTGGTGGGTGAGCTCAAACTGGTAGTACAGAGACCAGACTTTTTGACTTTGAGCTTGATCTGCTGCTATCCGTGTGACAGCTTCGTGTAATTGAAAGCGAACTGCATCCACAGATAGTATTGCGTCCCACTCTGCATCAATCCCAGCAGCTTTTGCTTGCGCTTGTGTTGGTGCTTTGGCAGCACCTAAGCTTGCATAGCGACCGTCTTGATAAAATTTTGGTCCAGCCTCATCGTTTGTCCAGTCATGTACCAAGTCAAGTGTTGCTTTAGAAGATGAGCTTTCCAGCTCATTCGATGACAGTTCTACATCTGCCGGCTGAGTCTCCATGTAAACGTAATGGAGATGGAGAATGAGACTGACGTATGCCAAATATATGCGTGCATCCAATGAGCTTCCTGCTGAGTCAAATGTATGGGCTCGATGAATGCTAAATACTTCTGACAGAGCGGATGCATCGCTCAAAGGTAGCGAGATGGATGATTGACTTGCATCATTTCGTGTTGCAATGGATTGCAATGCCAGTGCTCCTCTCAACAAAGCTTGATCGAACGTCAATAGGCAAACAGAATATTTCTGATCTAATGCTTCTCGTAGTTCTGGCAGCCTAGACTTTTCTCCGTGTAACAGCTTTGTTCGCAATGATTGCAGCCATCGAAAGTAGGATTTGGGAGATGAGTCTGATTTTGTTGTTTCCACATCATTGACAGCCTCTATCTCCTCACCATCATTCATGTTGTGTGGATGGATTGATGATGGCAATGAGAGTGGAGAGAACTTTAAAAAGTGTTCTTGTGTTACTCCGTGTTCCGGATTCATTCGCGTTTAATGCTCCACCAAGTTGTTGTTCAGATTAAACGCACGCTAACTTTGCGCACGTGTCATGCGTATCGTTTGTGCATTTGTGCATGCATAACTTTTTTATTATCTTGTGCCGATTAAAGACTCGGGCACAGACACACTCTCTCTGTCCTCCTGGAACGCGAAATGAATTTGACTTGAATACATGCACAATATACATAAAACGCATTAAACGCCATTTGAACAGTGTACACGATTAAGAAGGATCAAAAGAAAAGTTAATCAAACCCGATTGTTACAATTGCTATTCCTTGCTATCATCTTCTGAGACGAATCGTATGCCTTCAAATATCAATCAAGATATTCAAGCTTACATTCTATAACGCCCACCCGAAGACAAAAATAAATTAATCAAAATTACGATCGCTAAAGATAGAAGTCATCTTCTGTTTTTATTACGCCGCTCAATACCGTGCCTTTTCACCGAAGTGATTTACACAAATCTCTTTCTCTTTCCGGCCTTTTGCTGAGAAGTGTTTGCATCGTCCCAAAAATATGATGGTGCAAGTCTCATGCATTGGCCGGCCGTAAAAAAACAGTACAAGTGGATAGAGAACTCTAATCCTTGTCAAATAAACACACCTTTGTTTCCGTTTCTGCGAAAATGGCTTCCAAGCATGCTTCTCCTTCAACGGCATCTGCAAGAGCGGCTTCAAGTAGTTCATCTTCGCTAGTCTCACCATCAAATCTTCCAAGAGATTCTGCAGAAAGTTCAAGGCAACGATCTTCCTCAAGTAAAAAAGCATCGCCCTCTGATGTAATCTTTGGTCAACCTCCCGGAAGTGATGAAGCGAGTCTTTTATACGAGCAATTGATTTCCGATAGTGCTTTCCAACCAATCGCAAGTGATGCAGGGCAAAGGAGCTCCTCTTCGCTATCTGGAAAAGGATCAGGAAGTAGCAGTATCGGTACACATAGCAGCACGAAAAGTGGAAGTAGGAGTACAGATAGCGGTGAAGTACGAATGCAGGGTGCGAACGATGGCGAACGAGAGACGTCTGCCTCAATGCACGCCACACCATCATCAACTGCAATGACAACCGAATACGGAATGCAAGAAGACGAAGAGAACGTAAAGACATTGCCACCTCTATTTGAAGATTCTGATCCGGAAGATATTGTCATCTTGGTGGCGGATATGTTGAACAGATTAACGACACATAACGATTCATTGCCTCTCCATCCTTCTTCGCTTACCCGCTTTCACTCAAGAGCAGCACCAGGAATAACGATTTTATCTTATCTACGACGGATAGCAAAATACACATCATTGGAAAAATCATGCATGCTTATCCTTTTGGTATACATTGATCGCGTTTGTCAACGTATTGCCGGTTTCACAATTTGCAGCTTGACCGTTCACAGATTCGTTTGTGCGGCTGTTGTTTGTTCAAGCAAAGCATTATGTGATGCATTCAGTACAAATGGTCATTATGCTCGTGTTGGAGGAATATCGTTAATCGAATTAAATATGTTGGAAAAAGAATTTCTCAATATTATTGATTGGAAATTATCTTGCAGCGGAGCACTTTTACAACATTATTATACCAGCTTGGTCAGATCACATGAATCGTATAGATTACAACAAGTTTCTTTGCCGCCTTTGCCGCCTTCTATGTTACAGGGTTCATCACCTGTTTTGCAACAAGACAACGAAAAACATAACGACGATTCAAATGATATGATGATGGAGTGAACAGGTGGAACGAATCAAGCTTTCAACAAACTTCAACCTTTTCCCTTTCTCTTTTGACACAAAATTATAGATTTCCTCTCCCTCTCTTTCTCTCAAGGCCGCGCAATTCTACCATGATCTCGTTATTTATTCGTACAAGCAAGCCTCGGTCTGATGTTGTATTCTTTATTGACAGTGAAAACGCTTTATCCTTGCATGCATGCTCCATCATTTTTCTTTTCAGCAATGCTCTCTAATACACAATATTTGCAAATACTACCAGAGTGAAGATTTTTCAAAGAATTCTGATTGATTGATGTTTTGTAATGGAAAATTGAGAAGCGCGCGTGAAAGGATCATGATTGTATGGGAGAAACTGGTACATGGTGTTTAATATGCACATCTGATGAGTTGATGATTGGATGGATGATTGATTGATGTTCAAAGATTGCAAATTGCGGAAAAAAGGGAGAGAAGAGAACTCAAGAACAAAAAGGCAAGAAGGTGATTAGCGTAAAGGATGAGGCTTTGAGCGATATACATGGTACAAAAGGGCAATAAGAAGAAAGGGAAGGATGTTTGGATTTTGTTGGCAAATACGTAATCGTCAAGCCCGTGTTCCCCAACCGTGTGCTGCGTACATATCTGATGGTTGCTGTTGATAATATGGTACATTGCCCTGACCAGCTCTTGCAGCAGCAGCAGTATGATTAGGTTCCATAGCAGTTCGATCTTCTTCTTCCTCTTCTTGTTCTGCTTCAACAACATCTTCTCCTTCATCATATTCCAATCCTTCAACATCTTGTTGTGCTTCCAACATTCCATGATACACTTCAACAGCAAATGCATTCGTCAAACCAGGCGTAATACGTTCAGCTTGAATAAGTGCATTTCGTACTTCTTCAATCGTACGTTGTGCATCCGGTCTTTGTGCAACGGCCAGAGATAATTGTTCTAAAACCGGTAATAAAACTGCATCCATTGCTGATAATTGAACGGAATTTGATTGTGGAGCTTTTGCATTCGTTCCTGCCGCTGCTCCTGCTCCTGCTCTTTTACCAACTGATGCTTGTCCATTACCCAACCGTACATTTTCCAACCTGTAACGCTCTTGTTCCAAAACATCGTCTTCATCATCGCTGAAGCGACCGCCAGCACGCGCTGCAGCTTCGTAATTGGCTAGAATACCTTGACTCTGACCTTGTGGAGCATTTGATCGACCTGCTCCATTGCCATAACGAGGATCATCATAATTTGTGGCAATCTCCGTACCGGCTCTGGAGTGTCCTTTGCCTACCGGTGAGCCATATTCAATATGACTGGTACCGGTTGTGACATTATCGCTTTGATAACGTTGATGAGCTTGTGTTGGTGTTTGTTGTTGTGGTGCTTGTTGATTGACCTGTTGCGATTGACGTTGAGCTTGGTATTGTTGTGATTGACCAGAAGGTGGTCTGGGTAAATCTCCTCTTTGTTGTTTGGCACCAGCCAAACGTACAGTACCACCTGCTGAGCCACTTGAAGAGGAACTACGAATCGATGCAAAACGCCCTGAACCTGTCTTGGCTGGACTTGGTGCTGGCACTCTGGAAGCTGGACTTCCAGCAGCACGTCCGTCATATCCTACCGGCTCAATCGGTCTAGAAGGTGTATTTGGAAGATCGCGCAAAGCTCTACCGTTACCATTGTTGGGGGGTATATTGGATGCTTGTTGAGGTTTGACGGGCGAATGAGCATCATAAGGATTCCTTACCGCATAAGCATTTTCCATCATTGCTTGTGCATTAGCAGGAACAGGTGGCGGAGGCGCAGGCCTTTGTGATCGCATCGTCGGATTACGTACTGTGCCGAAATCCCAATCATCTTCTTCATATTCTTGTTGTGCACCTCCTTTGTCTCCATCATGTTGATCGTGTTGATCGCCACCTTCTGCTTTCCACCTTTCTAGTCTTTCGATCAGTTCGGTCAAATAGCTCGTCTTTTTGGCATTTTTGATAAATCGATGTTTCAAAAGCTCTTTTGCTGTCGGTCTTGCGGCTGGATCACGTTGTAAACAGAATGAAACGAAATCTCGGAAGGTTTTAGAGAAGGATGCATCCAATTGCGGAGGAGGGTTCTTTGGGATCAGGAACAAGACCTTCATTGGATGAAGATCTGCATAAGGTGGCTCTCCCATTGCCATTTCTATGGCTGTGATACCCAAACTCCAGATATCAGCTTTGAAATCGTAGCCGCTTTGCTTGATCACTTCAGGACTCATCCAGTATGGAGTACCGACAAATGTGTTCTTCTTTGTCATCGTTGCCGTCAACTGTCCACTAACACCAAAATCGGCTAATTTCACATCTCCCGAAGAAGAGAGCAAAACGTTGGCTGCTTTGATATCTCTGTGTAACTTTCCTTCTCCGTGCAAATAATCCAATCCTTTCAATAGCTCCCTAACAACGATTGCGATATAATCTTCTCTAAACTTTCCTGGCTTCATCAAATCTGAACAACTTCCTCCCGAGCAATATTCCATCACGATCCACAGATTCGTGCCTTTGAGCCAACTTCCATGATATTTCGTGACAAATTCGCTGTCCAATTGACTGAGAATTGCAATCTCTTGTTGAATATCATCAATTTCATCTTCTGCATTTTCCAAATCGATAATCTTGATTGCGACAGGCTCTCTTGTTAGCTTGGAAAATCCTTTGTATACCTCTCCGAACGATCCCTTTCCGATCCTATTCTGTTTTACGTAATAGTCTTCAGGATCGGAACCCTGTGGCGGAACTTTCGCAGCCATGATCTACTCTATCTTGCCTGCTTTGCTGAATGGTGTGCCGATGGTGATGGATTGGCAGAAGTATGCTGGACTTGTTTGTGTATCTCTGATTTGAATCTTGCTTGAACAAAAAGAGAGGATCGAATCACTCTTTCGAAGATTGAATCTTGAATGGTGGTAAAGAAGCAATGATTCTAGAAAGGGTCAATATCAAGCTTTGCGTAGAATTCAAATGTGATCTCAACAGAAAGAAGAGAGCCGAGCGGAAGAAAGCAGTTCAATATGCTGCTGCTGCTGCTGCTGCTGCTGCAAGCGTGCACATGCATCTAGGCACACACTTTTGTGTGTGATATGATGGGTATTTGCATATGCACGTACGTAAAAATACGCACACGAAATTGCTTCCCTTTGGGAATTGGAAGATAGAAAAAACAATCCCGTTCTGAGAATGCTATTTTTATTGATCGCCCAAAACAGGAGAAATGTTGAGATGAAGTTGTTAGGAGTTGATTATGCTTTTGTTTTATCAGCCCATAGGGGCCCTGAATCACTCCATTCAGGCACACCAGGCCAGACAACTCGCCTCGATTCAGATCAGGTCAGGGCATCATCCGGATGTATCACAAAATGCCGCGGCGGGCTAATAGGCACAAACCATTACGCACGAACCCCTCTTGTGTGAATTGTGTTTGTTCGATTGGTACGTACGTATCTTTTTCGTAACAAACATTCCATGCATATACCAACCGAATAAGAAAGACCCTTTCTTTCCCGGTACAAAGGAAAAGCTTATACTCACAATTTGCTGAAATGAAAGAAATGATGAGTTGAATGGGGTAAAGTGGTCGTTCTTGTCGTTTTGGAATTGTGTTATTTATAGTATTTTGTTGATCGTCGTATGTCCTTTTGTGGTATGTTGTTATTGCATAAGATGGACGTGCTAAACTTGCAGAAAGAGAAGATCTTTTGGAATGTTTTCCCTTGTCGTCCCTCGTTTTGATTTGATACGTCGTTCTTTGTCGTTTTAATCGTCGTAGCTGGTCGTCGTCGTTAGAATATGGGGAGGGTATTTGTTGTGATTGGAAGTGTGCATATAAGCACAACAGCGCGATCCTTTGCTTTTGTGAATTGCAAAGTTTGAATGGAAGATGACACAAACAAGCAAAGAATTGTTTGCTGGATAAGATGTATACTCTCGGAGTGAAATAGACTTGAATGAGATTTTGGCTAGAGTAAGGTTTATCTCTGTGTGCGTGTGTGTGTGCGTCCGTGTTTGCGCTCTTGCTTCGTTCTAGTGCATCAAAGCGCATTAAAAAGGGGGGAGGGTTACTCACTCTCAAAGCGTGCGTGCGTGCGTGCTTGCGTTTGATCGGTCTTTTTTTTTTCCTTATAAAACACACACAGCTCGGGGTTATGCATCTTTGGTTTAGCCCGCATAAGTATAGTCTAATTGTAAGCGGGAAATAAAGCAATAAAAAGTAAAAGATACGCTCAAAGTGCCAAAACGCGTCTTCGGCACGGTTTATATATAAAAACCAAATGACGCAGTTTAACACGAGAAAAGAAACACTAATTAAACCTCTTAAAGCCACCTTTTTTGCTCTTTCTTCGGATAAGCATGGTTCCCCCCCGTTCTCATGAAAAGGACGAGAAGGAGTACATCCTTGTCTTATACTTCAAGTAGGGGGTATTGAAACATGACTAGCAACACATATATACAATTGGGCTAGAATAGTATCAGTCAACATCCTAAAGATCGTCTGATCAATCTTATCTTGCCACCGCTTTACCCACACAATGCAAACAATTGAAATATTCTAGATATGGGGATCACATCTTCTTATTTTACAAAAAATAGAAAAGTCTTTATCTTCTCTTACATTCATTTACACATGATCGATTTGATTAGGCGAAGGCGGAAAGAATGGGGAGGGTGTATAAATTGCACAGCCTTTTGAATTTGATGATAGCTGTGTTGTTTGTTTGTATTTAGCGTCATAATTCATTATTACGCCGCCGCCGCCGTAAAAGGGTTCAATGGTTAGGATCCCTCCGAATCAATCAAAAGGGGGGACAGTGCACACACGCAGATGTCAAAATAAAACACAAAAGGACAGATGACCTTATCCGTCTTCTATATCTTATTACAATGAGCCAATCAGATCAAATTCTATCAGAAGCACAGCATTTTCCACCTTTTAAAAAGCTCCGAATTCACGTAAGGTGTTTCATACGCTAACCCGCATTTTAGGTCGTCCCACATTCTTGATTCAACTCAAAATCCCACGCTTAAAGGAATGCTTAGCGAGATACAAAAAGGAAGAGATATTCACACAACAAAACCAGAAATTAATGCTGAGATCAAGAACAAATATAGTTTATTTTTGTATTACATCTGGAATATTTTCAAAAAAGTAGACAGCATTACGTCTACAAAAAGCAACCTTTTCACGTATTCTTTTATGACATGTATGTCGATGAATCAATCGTGTCTGGTAATTCAGGAATGGCCACTTCGAATCTTGATTGAATCTGCTTGAGAACCTCTTCATCTCCTTCAGATGAGACAAAGACGATTGCAAGACCTTTTGTACCAAAACGACCAGCACGAGCAGATCTGTGCAAGTATGAATCAGCATCCGTTGGTGCATCATAACTGATACTAACGTTCACACGTTCGATATCGATACCACGTCCAAAGATATCAGTTGCAACCAAAATACGCTTTTCGAATTGCTTGAATTGTTGGTATCGTTCAATACGTTCTGCTTGTGGAATACCGGCATGAATGCAAATACTGGGGAAATTGCATTCGACTAACAGTTTGTTCAATTCGTTAGCACGGGCAATTGATTTAACAAAGATAACGACTTGGTTGAATTCAAGTGAATCAAGCAAATCGTTTAATTTGCGATTCTTTTGACCTTCTTCCAATCGAACAAAGTGTTGTTGCAATCCATGCAATGTCAATTTTGTCTCATCATCAACGTAAATTTCAAGTGGGTTATCCATGAACTTTCTGCAGGTAGGTCGTACTTCCTTTGAGAGCGTAGCGGAGAACATCATCACTTGCTTGTGATGAGGTGTGGCACGGAAGATATCTTGAACATCACGACGCATATCGATCTGTTCCAACATCTTGTCACATTCATCCAAGATGAAATTCTTCACTCCGCTCGTCTTTAGGCTCTTATCTCTTACCAAAGCATTCATACGACCTGGTGTTCCAACAATGATGTGAGGACATTTGGTCTTATCCTTCAAAATTGCTTGATCGTTAGCAACTGGCGTACCACCGTAAAAGACGGATGTGCGAACGTTTGGCATGTACTTTGAGAATCGAACGTATTCGTTACGGATTTGGTAGGCAAGTTCACGTGTGTGACAGAGAACAATGACACTAACATCACCATCAACAGGTTCAATTTGTTGCAATGTAGCCAAGACAAAGACTGCTGTCTTTCCCATACCAGATTTGGCCTGGCAAATGACATCCATTCCGAGCATTGATTGAGGAATGCATTCCTGTTGCACTGTGGTGGATTGAAAGCGTGTTGATATGTTTTAGAGACAAGAAGTACAAAAGAAAACACTTTGAGACCATAACTTACCTTCTGATGGATGTTCGAAACCCAAATCAGCGATTGCACGTAGCAATTCCGGCTTCAACAAGAAGTCACGGAAACCTGTGGAGTGGATACCAACGTATGATCCCTTTTTGCTGTCTTTTGCTTCACCATCTGCTGCAGCTGCGGCAGTTGCAGAAGCTCCATTTGTGGTGGAAGGTACAGTAACCTCCTCCTCGTAATCGATAAGACTGAAAAGTAGGATGAAAATCAAACGAAGGACGTAGGATGTTTGGGTTTAGTATTAAAATCAAAATGTTGCCGGAGCGAACGGTAATCTCGAATCGACCCTCACTCTTCGTTATCCATTTTTGTATATTGTAAAGAATCGGAGGAAGTGGATGTGTGTTAAAAGGTGATGGTGGATGGAGGAATGGTGAGAAGATTGGTGCGCTGCGTGCGCACGCACAACGGATGCTTTCATTAATACAAGAAAAAGTTGGCGTGGTGCCATGAGAGAAACAAACGCGTACTGGGCTGGCCTTCATTGCCATGTCCTGCCTATCACGATTAAGGCACTTTGACACTGTAACATACAAGTGAATACAAAGGTAACAAGTTGACGCGTGTCCATATAATAAGATTTTGAATACAATATTTTATCTGAATTATTGGGAGCAACACAAACGCTGAGCTAAAAAGACCCGACGAACTGATGAAACAAATGACACAAATTGGGAGGGGCATCTCCCATTCACTTACCATCATCTGATTCTTGTATCGCATCTTTGTGCGCCAAGTGATGGACGGGGTTACATCAAGAGCACATAGAAGCAGTGCAAGAAAGGGTGGAAGAAGTAGTCGCTCAAAAAGCCGTACTGCAGACCAACAAGCAATTGAAGAACGAGTGGAAGAAACTGATAATCTGGCAGAAGCAAGCTCAAGGAAGGTGTCGGAATCCTCATCGCCACCAGCAAAGGCTTCCAAAAAGACCAGACAGAGCAAGAAAAGCCCTCTGACCGAGGTTCAACAGTCAGCAAAGGATGCATCGGGACTAACATCAGGTAAGTGGATTGTAAGATCTTTCTGTCGGATCACCAGCTAATCATTGATTCAAACAAATTTCTTACAGCAGGCAAAATGGCAAAAAGCAATCGAAAGCGCTCACTGAGTAAAGAGGGAGACGATGCTCCACCAAAGTCATCTGTGAACAAGAAACAAAAGCGTTCAAAAGCAGTAATTAGCGATGACGATACCAGTGCGCCTGCAAACGTTGATGATAAAAAGCGAACCCGCCGCATATATTCTCCGCAAAAGCAAGACAAGCATTCTGGACGAAAGTCTGGCCATGCACATAGCAAAAGCCCTCTGAAAGAGCAAGATGATCGTCAGATTCCAGCACCTAAAGACACAGCGGAATCGTCCGAATTGTTGTTCAAGCTTGAGGCTGCAGAAGCAGAGCGGGCGGCTTTACAAGCCAAACTGGAGTTACAAGAAGCAAAGCTTTCCGCTCAGAGTGATACAATCTCACAGCTTCATTCGCAATGCGCTTGTACGGTTTGTTTGGAACTCGCATACAGACCACATGTACTTTCCCCCTGTGGTCACGTATTTTGTGCTCGTTGTCTTGTGTTGTGGTTCAAAAAGGCATTGCCAGATGAGCCACCATTTGCTCCATATCTGACAGAAGAGCAAAGGACAGAGGAACAACAACGTCGGACATTACGACGTAAAAAGCTTTGTCCGCATTGTCGTGTAAGAGTTCAAGCCAGACCAGCAGAAGTTTGGATGATCAAAGGTTTGGTGGACAAGCTTGATGAAAGTATACGATCAGGTCAAGGCAATGATAAGGACACAGACATTTCAAATAGCACCTCTTCTACAGACGCAGAAGCAAAGGAAGCTCGAGGTGAAAACCTGAAAGCAGGTACGGCACTTTGGGACACAATTTTTCCACACAATGATAAGCCATATCAGCATCCTATCTTCGATGAAGACGATCGCGTTTATCGATGCGGATTGTGTGCTAGCGAGATCGTAAATCGAGCTTGCACAAATCCATATTGTGCGATCGAATATAGCGAAAATGAGTTAGACGAATACGACGATGAAGACGATTCAGAATTTGACATTCATGACATGATCTATGGAGGAGAATTTGGCGTAAGCGAGGACGAAGATTGGGAAGATGAAGATAACGATTTCATCGATGACGGACCTGTCGAGATCAATGATGATAGTGAAGATGAAGTTGAATTCGACCATCATCTGCACCATGGCGCTCATGATCACGACAATGGCGATGTTCAACTTGTCGCCATCAATAGCCGGAATGTACCTCCGGTAAGAAGACGACGCGGTCGTGTGATCGCACTCTCTGATTCGGAGGAAGATCAAGGCGATCGTAGAGCGCGTTCTCCTTCTAACGAGAATTTTTCCGATCGTGACGAAGAAATGATGGCAGGAGCCGGGCATCACGATGATGACGAGGAAAGCGAAGGGGGAACGGAAAACTCTTATTCGGAGGAAGAAGGCACTTATGCGAGCAATCCGGATGATGGAGCTTCACAAGATTTTGACGAAGGATTCGACGATAGAGACCCAGACGACTTCGATGAAGATGGAGCGGATGATCTCGATCTTGATTGATTGAAGGCATGCACACCTCAAAAAGCGCAATTTGTAGGTCAGACTATACCTATAACATCTGTATCTAGCACACAACTGTATCTTTGTATTGTATTCTCATACGGCTTGATAACCACACAGCTTCTGAAGAAAGGCCACCTTACTGACATTTGTATCACCAACAACACACACACACACACAAATAATATTTCTATATCCAATAAGAATAGAACGACGAATTGAAGTAAAGGGTCTAAGAAGGTGGCACACTGAAAATAAGAAAAAGGTTTACACTTGCCGAGCGCGCTTCGACGAGGATGGTCTATTTGTCTGGCTTGATCTTGAGCTATCAACGTTCTGTGGACGATATGAGGTTGAAGCATGACTTGTATTGTCCATTGTGTTCATTGT